GATAAAAACCTTAAAACCACATTATAGGTTTATATTAGTGCTTCTACATAGCACATAAGTTCTATGTACAAACACCAACCCAAAAGCTAAATTTATGAATCGTCTGCCCCGAGCTAATGGACTTCACTGGTAGTATTTTCACTTTCGCAGCAGTAGATCCTTCAACGCCAATTTTAACATATTTTTACTTAATTTAGGTTGTGTTTTTGACAGTTTTACTGCATTACTATTGAATGTGTATGTTATTCCCGTAATTTTAATATTAGACATTTATATTTCCGTGAATTGTAAATAATTCGTGTCTTCACTCAAATCATCATCATCATCAGCCTATCGCAGTCCACTGCTGGACATAGGCCTCTCCCATTGCACGCCACTTAGATCGATTTTGGGCTTCTCGCATCCAGCTCCTGCCAGCCATCTTGCGCAAAATATTTGCTGATTATTTATTGTTTCAAAACCATTCTGCGTTATTAGTTAAATTTATCTAGTTCACTAAAATCACTTCGTACTACTGACTAGTATTGGTACTGCTGTGGAGGAACGGGTGTCATGTGCCTCCAACACAAAGGGAGGATCCTCCGACCACGCGAGGTGATCATGCCTGGCGGGCCGCGGCCCAACGGTTGATGTTGGCAAGTTGTATACATGCTAATCGGCGAGAGAATTCTTCATGTCGCGATACAGGATTAGCAATTTGTCTTCCTTAGATAGCGCTGTAGTAGTTCTGCTTCTTCGTATGTGGGAGCCGCCACATTGCACTGGCAGCAGTGATTTTTCGTTTTACCGAGTGGACGTGTTGCCTTATCACGAACTCTGTCTATTAAAGCTAAGGAACCGAGATTTGTCGTTTTGGTCGAACCCCCTAATCTCTTTATAACATAACTCTGCTACCCTCAGGAATTCTTTTTTTTTGTAAATACAACTCCCGCATTTGGAATATTTCCTGTGTTGGGACTTAACAAACATACATGAAACGGACACAAAGAACACCCAGACTCAGAACAACAATTTGTGGAACACACAAAGTGTCGTCCCATGTGTGGTTTGAACCCACAACACTCAGCGTAGTAGTGAGCGGCGTGGCGACTGCTTAAACTCCTACGCCATCCTCGCAGTCAATGGACCAGTAACATAAGAAACTACAGCTAGTTTTCTAAATACTAAGCCTATTAAGAAACGTTTGTTATAGATATCAAAAACAATAAATTTAAATGACTACTGTAATCAACCGATAAATTTATAAGCATTGGATAAGGTACGATATTATCTATAAGTATCGATGAATATTACACGATAATGCCATGTTTTGTGTGTAGTCTAACATATTATAATTAAAAGATGAAAAGTACATCTTTGGTTTGACTTATCACACATAAAATTAGATCTAGTACTATCCATACAAAAGTCTAAAGCTATCGTCGATAAGAACGATAATTTGTATATCTTAATGTGTAATGTATCATATCATGCGTTTTTTTAAGGCAGAGGTTTATTTGTTAATAGTACAGGGGGCATATGAGCACACGGGACACCTGGTGTTAAGTGATTACCGCAGGCCAGTACGTTGCCGCCTTTCTTTCCCTGATAAATAGGTTGAAGGGCTTTGGGATCCGGTAACCTGACTCTATCCGTCTAGTGACGGATTAAGAATACGGAATATCACCACCCCTAGTCATCCCGTGGGTGTCGTAAGAGTCGATTAAGGGAACAAACTACGCACGACAACAGCACTGGTTTGGTACTTTGTCTGATGACATCATTCATTGTAACAATTCATTATAACAACATACCATAAAATAATATTTGAGTAAGCAATAAACAGATGTGGAATTAAGGTCCACTTTGGCTAAACACATGTTTTTGTATTCTATCAACTTAACAAGCATAAAATTAGTAACAATCATTTCACTCACTGAACATACAGTCTACATAAATATGAATAGTGACTGCGATGCACAACGATAGCAAATGCACACTTTAATAAAGACTTCAAAATAAATTGAAATGAAAAATTTGGTTTGAAATAAAAAATTGAAATGAAAAAAGGAGGAGGTTCTCAATTAGTCAGCATCTTTTTTTGTGTATGTTCACCGATTAATCGAAGACGCCTGAACCGATTTGGAAAATTCTTTTTTGTTTAATAGGGTATTCTTCTCAGATGGTTCCATTCAAATTTTATTCCAATCTTTCTAACGGTTACAATTCAGTTGTGAGATCGAAAGTCAATTGAAACTGAATACCGAAGACCGAATTTTTATTACGAGAATTGGCCTTCCGGTCGTTTGATGTCCAAATAAAATTGGTAAAATAAAAAAAAAACATATCATTTCAATTGTTTCTTTAAATTTTGAAACATAGACAATTAGATAATTACTATTGAATTGGTAAACGCATCTTGGAGCAGCGTTTATTGGCCTTCATTATATGTAATTGCGGGCCGTTTTATTACTAGCAGCTTATAGCCTTGATGTGCAGTGATTTCGAATGCACAGTATGTGAAAAAAGCAAATTGCTATTACGACGGAACTCTCCAATTATGCAACTGTTCTTAAGGTAGCCATATTTCAGCACAATTGGGCCGGTTTCCGACCGGAGTGATACCATGACCTCACAGAAAACCCATGTAGCAATACTTTTGTTCCTTTTCACCGAGTGAGTGAGTTTACCGGGGCCTGTTGATGTTATGTGATGATTATATTCTGACCTGTATAAGATATACTCCTTGTTATTTATTAAAGAGAACTTCTTGCTTACCCTGCCCCTTCATTATCTTCTAATTCCCAAACTCTAAAAAAATTAACTAAACGGGACCGAATCATATTCACGTTTTGGTATGTGTTTAAATTGCCTCTGCCTACTTCTTCTATGTCACTTTGATAATTGCACACTCCAGCACTACACTTTTCGAGACACCTTTTGCCGCACACAACCAATCTGTGGTACAATTTATAGTCTGCGGTATTTCCGGTCTGAAACGACCATCATCAAGAAAAGAGCGTACTCCTTCCTCAAAGGCCGGTAACGCGCTTGGGACTCCTGAGTTGCAGGCGCTCATGGGCGGCGGTAGCCCCATCAGGTCTGGTCAGGTCTTGTTTGCGCACTCTTCCATTAAAAAAAATGAATAAATGTGTGTATATGTGTCAATATATTTGTAATGCAGTCGGGACTTTGTTTCGTTTAATGATTTCACCATAATAACTGACTTAATTCGTCGTATACTATAAGCTACTTTATCAAGCTGCAATAAAGATCAATCTCGAATATATGCGTATTTTTAGAAGCTTTTGAGGGCGCGTGTTAAAATCATCTCAGTGAACCGAAGCTATCAAGTCACGCTTACTGTGGCAGATGATTGATTATAACGCCGTGTGTGCCTGTGTGTACGATCAAATAGAGGATTCTACGAAATAAACCTCTGCAGTTATTACGTCTGTAACGGCGTCAGATAAGTACCATTGTTTCACTGTTAAAAGACAGTTAGATCCGGCGAACATACAATTATCTTTTAATAGCGCTGATTAACTTATTAAACACCGACATGTACCCACTTAACTTAATCGGAGCAAGTTTATAAGCAAACCCAAAAATTCTATCATAAAGTCCGCTCTACCCCTTTTTTGTTAGGTGGTAGTCACTACCATATTAAATGACCCGTGTTCTCGTTTGTCACTATAGCAAAAAAAAATAGTATGTAAAAATTTAGAACGGCACGGTAGGGTTTCTAACAATTCTTTTTCACTTAAAAATAATATGATGAATTTCGATGTAAACAAATGTAGGTAATTCAACGTTACGGTAGCAAAATACGCAACGTGGAATAGGGACACCTACTTACCGAAATAATAATAAAACAAAATCTTCTTTAATTCCCCTCTTTAGGGACACATACTGTGTTGAGTAATTCTATTATCTGATCTGGTAAATAATGAATTTATAGAAATTTAGTAAAGTAAGTGTATTCAATAAAATATGTAATAATATACGTTACACATTTCACACACGGCCGTCTGATCCCAAACTAGGCAGAGCCTGTGCTATGGTGAGCAGACTGCTGATAAACATACTTATATATGTATTTTTAAATACATACATATTATGAATAAATTACACCCAGACACAGAACAAATGATCATGCTCATCACACAATATTTGTCCTGGGTGAGAATCGAACCCACGACCTCCGGCTCAGCAGTCAGGGGCACTAACCACTCGACCAACAGGCCCGTCGAAATAAATGTCAATGTTTTTAGAGGGTGGCGGTTTTTAAATATACTACTTTACTACAAATTAAGTAAGCAGCAGTACGTTATACAGGTTTATTTGTGCCTCGTCACTGAGGGACAAAGTACCATATCCTCTTTCCAGGTAGACGTAGAAAGCAGTTAATCTATGTAAGAATTGGAACTAAGGCTATTAGCCTAGTACTACTTAGTGCATATAAGTAACGATAAGCTACTTTGGTCATAAAAAACCGGGAGTGCCGACAGAAGTGAAAACTTATATACCTATATACAGAGGTGTCGGTAACGGTAACAGTGTCGCGACTTTAGTTCTTTTTTCCAATCTCAAAAATGCTCAACGGGCCTAAAGAAGTTTTCACTTCAGAAGAGGTTTCAGTAATGGTTTTTTTTTCATAAATAAACTCTTTTGTTTCTTGTTCAAAAATGCCCAACGCGCCTAAAGACGTTTTCACTTCAAAAATTGCTTAGTTTCGATTTAAAATTTCATTTAGTGATTTTTTATTGTATATGTCTTTAAATCCCTCACCCCTCTTGTAACTTCACTCACGTGGTTAAAAGCAGCGAAATCTTTGGTTAACAGCGGTTTACAGTGAGTCCGTGCTATCATCAAGCCCCTTTTTTTACCAAAGCTTGACTTTGCCACGGTGTCTTGAGGATCACAGTGTTTTCGAAATACCAATATTTATATTAAATATTTCATCAACTGTCGTAAAATTGACAACAGTTTTATAATTTTTTCACCCGTTTTCGTTTCAGGTTTAAAGACGTGAAAGCGAACTATGGCACAGACAGCCCTTCACGAGGACGCCGAGTTATATTCTGCGTACACGGAAACCCATCCACTGGCTGCTGTGCAGTCATCGAAACTACTACCGATGGAGATGACGGAGATAGAAGAAATGGCAGCATCGGTGAGGCTGAAAGTGAGTTCATAAAACATTTAAACCTTTGCCTTTGGACCCATGCTCACGGGTCCAAGTTAAATGTCGTTATTGGAATAATAATAATAAATTCACACATCACACACACTTCTACTGATTCCAAACTAGCCAGTGCCTGTACTATGGTAACCAGACTGCTGATAAACATACTCATATGTTTCTAAACACATACATATTATAGATAATTTAAACCCAGACAGAGAACAAATCATCGTGCTCATCACATAATTATTTGTCCTGGGTTGGAATCGAACCCACGATCTCTAAGCTTAGCAGTCAGGATCACTAACCACTAGACTCACAGGCCCGTCAAGAAAAATTAAAAGATTAGTCCTCTACCATCAAAAGGTGTCTGTTTCTTATATGATTAACTGAATTAAGATGATCTGTTCATTGAAACTACCAATAAAATAGAAGTGTCAACTGTCTGGACTTCTCTAGATTGTGGAATATGTGTTTTCGTCTACAATATGTGTATGTTTACATATGTATACATAGTATATATATACGTATACATAGTATATAGTAAACATAGAAATACATCTACATATCTATATTTTTGTCATTTTGTTAATTCACTTATCTTGTTCAAATGCTTGTTAATTTAAATTGATTTGTATACTGTTAAAAAAATAATTATGATTAATTTAATTTCATGTTGCAATCAATAAAACTTAATCTAAGTAAATAATTATTAAGTCCAATTGATATAGCTTTATCTAGGTTATTAAATTGTAAAATGCAATTAACGTTTAATTATGATTATATCAATCGCAATTAAGTTATTTTTGATAGAATTAAAGCAACTCTATTCTGAACTCATCTCAACTCTATTTAATATATACAGCTTCCTAGGTTCTTAGTTATGTAGTAAATGCTGGAAATCCTTCAAGGTTCACACTCAAAAAATAGCTGGCTTGGATATGACCTCAAATTGTATGAAATTTTACAAATTTTGGCTGTAAGTCGCTCTTATTACGATGCTCACTCTTAAAATATGCGATAAGCATTGCATAATAATAATAGACAACACAGTACCGACCGAAGTAAAACTATAAATGTGTAAATACGTACGTACAATACATACATTTATTTAGCCGTCAATAGTATAACGTAATGCTTTATCAAACTACCTTTATCACAATATGCAAACTAGCATGTATAAAATAGTTCATACTAAATTCTATGATAGCTCAATTGTAATACCTAACCGCCATGTTGTTCCGTGGTAAATACAGGCGCGTGTGACGTCACCATATGACATTATATAACGCGCATACTTACGTCTTCGCAATGCATAATCAGCAAATGTATACTAAGAAATAGCCTGCCCTAAATTATTCAAAAGTATTTTTGTCTTCTATGTAATCCACAAGCGAGTAATAGACTTTCTGACATAATTTACTTTTAATTGCGGGTTTAAATTTGTTAATACTTAAGTTTTGAATATCATTTGGGTTTTTTATTATAAAATCGGCCACATTGACCTCGAAACGACTTGTTTATCTTTTGTTTATTTTCTGGTATTTATAGAATGTACATCACTTATTTTGAAAAAGCTATCCTTGTTTTTATGATAATTAAGCAGTTGGTATTCGACGGACCCGTCTCGCCAGCGTGTAATAATAGGCCAACACCTCTTTTCTAAGGAGAGGCCATGTCCAGTACTGAATTATCAAAGACTGTTGATAATGATGATATTCGAATTATATTTGTTAGTCGTACGCGTAGGGATGTATGGAAAACGAGTTATGGGTATATGTAAAACGATGTATGGAGAAAATTGACAACACGTTTATGAAAAGTATTTATTTATTTACCCTGACACATCTCACACAAGGCCGTCTGATTCCAAACTAGGCAGAGCCAGTACTATGGTAACCAGACTGCTGATAAACATACTTATATAGTTAGTTTTAAATACATACATATTTAGATAAATTTACACCCAGACACAGAACAAAATAATGATCGTGCTCATCGAACGTGGGAATCGAACCCACGACCTCCGACTTAGCAGTCACGGTCACTAACCACTAGACCAACAGGCCCGCCCGACCAACAGTATGAAAATAGACAACATTGTAAGACCATGACGTTCTCCTAATTGTTGACATTAACATTTTTTTCCCCTTATTCTGGTGGTGACACTTCGAAAGGACCGCGCTTAGGATTCTGAGTTGCAGATGTTGTTAGGCGGTGGTAATTACATACCATCACCACCGTCTGACCGTTTGCCCAGATACCATAAAAAATAAGATTATATTAAGTAATCGATTCAAAACACAGAACAGTGAATAAACTGTTGTAACTGTAAATGTTTATTCACTGTTCTGTGATTCACACCCACTTGAACAGTAACTTTTTACTGAATGAAAAGTAACGGGTGAGCAAATTCTCATGATGATAAGTTAAGTAGTTTAGGTATTAAAGCATGACTTTTTTTTTTAAACAACTCTGCATTAGGAATATATCCTCTGTCGCGTGGGGACTTTACAAACACACATGAAACGGACACAAAGAACACCCAGACTCAGAACAACAATTTGTGGATCACACAAAGTGTCGTCCCATGTGGGGTTTGAACCCACAACACTCGGCGTAGTAGGAAGCGGCGTGGCGACCGCTTAAACTACTAGGCTATCCGTGCAGTCACAAGTCACAATTCGCATTTATAGTGGTACTTAGAAAATCCAGTATATTATTCATTTATGCTTATTTGTTGCAGCACATTGTCATAAATCAAGGAATGAAGAAGTGGACAAGCGGGCGAGAAGAAAACTCATATTGGCCAGCATATTGTGTGTCATATTTATGATTGGTGAAATTGTAGGTAAGTGAAAAAAATAGGTCCTCAACTTACATCAGCTTGAAAAATAAATTACCTCTTCAGAAACTCCTTCATAGCGAAAGACAAAATAATATACTAACTATATGCATCGGCCGAGGTAGACACATCATTTTACTGAATATATTTAATAAAAGAAAAACAAGGCCGAAAATTTAATGTAATCAATAATAATAATAATATTTTCGGATATCTGACACACAACGCCATCTAGTTTCAAACTAAGCAGAGCTTGTACCATGAAAGCTAGATTGCCTAATACTGATATCAATTAAAGTGAAATTGAAGCATGCCTTGCTAGCGCGCAAAATACATTGGGTCATTGCACTGGCTTGCTTGTTAAGCACAAATATTGATTGCGTAGATTGTAGAATAAATTGTTTGCAATTTTATCAAAAACTGCCTTTCGCAACGTGTTAAGTATTCAGAAAAAGATGTTTGTACAAGGTTTTCGATAGATTCATTTTCGTTGTTTTGAGAGAGCGGCTCCAGTCGAGCGGACCAATAAAGATGCATGATCTTTATAGGCCCGCTCGACTAGAGAGATACAAACCCTCCTCCCTCCCTTCTTAATAAATTGGGGGTTGCTCAAGGGGGGGGGGGCTGAAGTGGCAGGTTATTTGGGCAACGGTAGTCACTTACCATCAGGTGACTCGTCTACTCGTTTGTCCCATGTCCCAAATATTTCCTCTTTGCCCTTTATCACAGATTAAGGATACTCTTTTTTACTACAACTGACTTAATACAGTTCGAAATATGACCATATACTTGAAAATACATTGGCCACTCGAAATTGTGTAAAATAGTGCTTATCTGTGAAGGCCTTTAATTGGCTAATTGTTGTATATTATTGTTACTATTTCAATGTTAAAGCGTTCAATGTTGGTTTTTATTCTAATAAATAAAATGCGTTTACGTAATAATAATAATAATAATAATAATCATTTATTTGCATGAATATGAGTACAGGGTTGGACAATTCAATTAACAAAGGTTCATCATATCCTGCCGGGTAGGCGTGCAAAACTTTTCGTCAGAAACTGATACCTACAGACATTGCAATACATAAATTAATGACAATCAGTTTTATTGGTCAAATATCAGGCAATTACAATAACAATAATTAAGTGGTCAAATAAATGTGTTAAGTCAAATTATTGATAATATGGAAACAACCGAAGTGTAAGTTATGTCATATTATTTTCCAATACGACATGTTTAAATACTGTTGCAAGCTTTTGTATATCAGACACTAGATAGACAATTTCTCAATCAATAATTTGAAGACAATCGACAAAAAGACATATACGTGAACACAATTGCTTACATAATATTACAAACGCAATAATTACGCGTCGGGGTGCTAACTTTATATGTAGGTTATGAAAATAGTGCCTAACTTTTTATTGATTTTATAAGGGCTTTATGTAATTTTAACTGTATGTTAAATTGTAATTTTGAGCCATTGTTTTACTGTTCTCAAATTGGGAATAGGTATGTTAGTACTTTTATAACTTAGATAGATCCTATTTGAAGCATGTCTGCTATGAATCAAAACATAATTAAGAAAAGTATCAGTGACGGAGTGTTTTGTGTCTGGTGTAATTCCATTACTGGAACTCCACTGGATACTGGATTACCTGAGTACCTAGCGTGAGTTTATTTCTAGTTTATTAGTAGTTTAGTCTAGTTGCGATTGGTGGAGATTTCATTGCGAGCCAATCACAACACCGAACGCGGTCACCGTGACGTCCTAGTAGAAGTGAAATATATATATATATATATCTCATTTATTACCAATAAGAAAAGTACAAAATATGTGATACATTGCCGGTGGCCCCACACTAGGCAAGCCTGTCCTGTGGGTGCCAGTAAATAAACTCACAATTGATGGTAAGTCACTAATGTCGCCATGTGGACACCTGCAACTTAAAAGCCACAAGAGTCTTGTCAACTTTTACCCCCTCCACAGCATTAGGGGAGTTGAGGACCTCCCTCTATCCATTGAAAAGATCCATGATGGCTTTTTGTGCACTTTCATGTCGATTTTTCACTCAACAGATTTTTACAAGAAATTGAGATTTTTAAAAGACATGCAAGTCTCGAAATATCCTTTTTACTAGTTAAGCTGGCCTTATACAGAAATACGTCAAAAAAGTATGTACTAATATTAATTTAATAGTTGTAAGAAAAAGATCATTGGTAGAAAGATTTCTAAGGAGAGGCCTATGTCCAGCAGTGGACTATTAAAGGCTGTTGATGATGACGAAAAAGAAAAAGATCTCGTAATCCAAAAAAAATACGACAAGTTTATTATGAAAGCCCAAATACAGATAGTTAATGGAGAAATACCTGCTGCTCATTTCTTAGAAAAATAAAATAAATTTATAGGTTATAAAAATAAATTGATGAAAAAAAAATGATGTCCATTTTGCTTTTTCCTCTACTGTCAATAAAATTGCAATAGAAAGTGAAAGAAAAACGTTCCTCGTATACCACTAACCTATAATGGATTTTTTGGAACTAGTAGATCCTATAAGGTACGTTCCTCGTAAAAATCTGTTGAATGTATTAAAGTGGTCATGAAATTGCACAAAAATCCATCATGGATCTTTTCAATGGATTTTAGTGGACAGAAGGCGGTAACTTCAGTCACTCGGTGAAAAACAAGGAACAAATTTCTAACACCGGTTTTCTGTGAGGCCTCGGTATCACTCCGGTAGAGCCTGGCCTATTTATACTGAAGCATGGTGCTCCCACGGTAAAAAAAGATACTATCCGGAGTATTAGGTGACCCGTCTGTTCACTTGTCCCCTATTACATAAAAAATTGAAATGTGCTGTTTATTTTTTAAGTAAAATTGCGATCAATCCAGAAATAAACTTAATATGTTAGCGTATACTTTTCAAGGTCCTAACTCTACACTTTCAATCATCAACAGCCTATACTAGTCCACTGCTGGACATAGGCCTCTCCTTAGAAAGGAGGTTTTGGCCTACTATAACACGCTGGCCAGACGGGTTGGTATAGGGTTTGTTTCAAGTTTTCCTTCTCTTTGCAGTGCTGTTGTCCTGCTTAGTTTGCTCCCTTAGTCGGCTCTTACGACACCCACGGGATGAATTGGGGTGGTGACAATTTGTATTCTTAATCCGTCACCACACGGATTTTTTTCACACTTGACTTGAAACTTTCAATATAAAGATATTATTAATTTTGTTTAATTTATTCCAGGTGGTTATTTATCAAACAGTCTTGCGATAGCCACAGATGCAGCACATTTGCTCACAGATTTCGCCAGTTTCATGATATCGCTCTTTTCATTGTGGGTCGCGAGCAGGCCGGCGACGAGAAGGTAACACACTGATTATGTTAAGATATCTTGAAAAATCGGGCGTTTTTGAGCCCCATGTAAAACCAATTGAATTTGTGAGACCCGCCTTACTTTACATATTTTGCATTTTTATAAGACGTCAACACTAAAAAACCTACAATAGTAATATTCTTTGACATGACAAAAGCCTTTGACCATGTTTCGCATCAGCTGCTACTTGAAAAACTTGAGAACTACGAAATTCGAGGCCCAGCACATGAATGGATTAAATGCTACCTGAAGAATCGCGAACAATGTGTGGATATAATTAAAAATGATAATTCAGTGATCACTGCGGAAAGGCCCACACTTTACATATTACTTTACACGTTACATATTTTGCAATTTCCCATTTAGAAATCATTTGATTAAAACAGCAGTTTCGAAATGAGTTTTTTTTTTTTTACCACATTCACACAACGCCATCTAGTCCCAAACTAAGCTGAGCTTGTACTATGGCTACTAGACAACTGATATAAATACATATATACTATTTTTGTAAATACAGACATATTATACATAGAAACACCCAGACCAAATCAAACATTAAATGTTCATGCACACAAATGCTTGACTTGAGCGGGAATCGAACCCGCGACCTTTGGAATAGCAGTCCGTTACACAAACCACTACGCCATTCGGTCGTCGTCAATTTAAAATATTATTTTAGTAAACCAAATCAAATATTACAAAAATAAAATAAGTAATAACAAAACAAAAAACGATGTTCCATTTCAATTCCACCCTTATAAGTGTCAATTAAGGAACTAAGAATTACAGTTTACTATCGATTTAGCATTATGCAGGTGCATTGAAATCTATTAAAATTATTTAAAAATAAATTTTTATTTTATACTCAGGCAAATTATCACCTAAAACACGTCTAACTCTATGCAAAAGTACTAACAGTTCACTTTCGTCATTCCAGGATGCCCTTCGGGTGGTACCGTGCTGAGGTGATAGGTGCCTTAACATCAGTTCTCCTCATATGGGTGGTGACCGGAGTGCTTGTCTACATGGCGGTGCAGCGCGTCATCTACAAGGAGTTTGAGATCGACGCCACCGTCATGTTGATCACCTCGGCTGTTGGAGTCGTTGTTAACCTGATGTAAGTCATGTTTTTTTTTTAAGTTCATTGGGTAAACAAACAATATCACAATATTAATGGTTACAATAGAGTTTTAAACTATACATTATTGCTAATTGTGACATCCACACCGTTTACCACAAGTATGATGTTTACACAATTTTTAGCAGGTTGAGAGTATTTTAGACAAATGTACATTTCTCAATATAATCTATACTAATATTATAAAGCTGAAGAGTTTGTTTGTTTGTTTGTTTGAACGCGCTAAACTCAGGAACTACTGGTCCGATTTGAAAAATTCTTTCAGTTTTAGATAACCCATTTATCGAGGAAGGCTATAGGCTATATATCATCACGCTAAGACCGGATAGGAGCGGAGCACCAATGAAGAATGTTTCAAAAACGGAGAAAATTTATTACTATTGAGAGACGCAGACGAAGTTTCGCGGGTCAGCTAGTGTATTATAAACATATTAGTTCATAGTGTCATGCAGTTCCCTCATTACTAGGTTTCTGTAAACGCTCATATTATTTACCGAAATATCAATATGACTAAAGTTGAGAACAATTCCATTTCGTATTGGTGTATGGTGCGTCATGGCGAATAAATTTTGAATTGAAAAAAAGATTGGTGATTTATACTGTAGAATAAAAATAGACGGTAGAATGCCGGGAAAACGTTATCAGCTGGTGTATTTACATAGGTGATAGATCCCCCAGCCTGGCTTTTCTGTTACACTCTTCAAAAACTAGCTGACATACCTTTCTCCTGTGCCAGGCCAGCCACCTTTGTGTTAGTTATTCAAAATGCTTTTTCCAATTTTATTTGGATTCGGTGCAATTACATAGAGTTTTTCCTGATATTGTAATTAAAAAACGTATTATTGTCTTTAATGTAATTATTATCAGACAGATCAAATGAAAAGGTAAGTCTTATTTTTTTCTACATCACCCAAAGGTAGACTGGCAGAGAACGCTTTTAGCATTAAGTCTCAGTACACATTATTCAAAAATAAATGAAATATAAATATAAATGATAATATAAATGAAATAAATTAGGGTAAAAAAAACGAATAGGATGAAGGAGCTAAGGCAAAGGGTACCGCAAATGTTGGATGTGAAATAGGAATGAGACTGATGAACGGGACTGTACCTCGAAAAGACAGCGCTCATATACCTTGAAGTATAAAAACTGTGGTGTTTTCCCCAGAATGGGTCTGACCCTGCACCAGCACGGCCACAGCCACGGTGGCGGCGGTGGCCACGGACATTCCCACGGGACCAGCAACCCCGTTCTCAATAATAAGGTAAATGTTTAATATCACTATTAATATATCTACTTAAAATAATAATTGTGAACCGTTTTTTTATGATTCTTTGGCTACAAATAGTAATAAATAAATCACCTCACATACGGCGATTATGATCCCAAACTAGACAGAGCCTGTACTTCGTTAAAGAGACTGTTGACACATATACTTTTTCTATCATAACACCCAGACACAGCAAATAATCGTGTATATCGTACAATTATTTATACTGACAAATTTGCTTAGGATTGATGCTGCTCACTCCCACATTTACGTAGACATCTCTGTTGTTAAGTTTGAAAGTGATGGACAGGCTGACTCAAAACTATGGTCCTTTCCTCAAAAGGCCTATCCGAACCCTATACTGTACTCGCACAGTTTTATTTTAACTTATAGAAATAAATATCATTTTATCATTTCATCTGAGTGGGGATCGAACCCATAACCCTCTGGCTCGGCAGTCAGGATCACTAACCACTTGACCACCAGGCCGCAACCATAGATAAAACAATCTTCACACACGCAATCTTCGCACAGAGGTTGTCAAATATGTAAGTACATATAAGTGGTGTGTTACAGAAGGAGCGGTCGGACTCTGATGTGGAGAGCTCTACTTCTCATTCGCACTCGCACACCCATCAGGCTGAGAACATCAACGTGCGCGCCGCCTTCATACACGTGTTGGGAGACTTCATACAAAGCTTCGGTGTACTTGTTGCCGCTATCGTCATATACTTCAAAGTATGTACATTAAAACTTATTGATTCTTAGCTGTTGCGGACGAACACACAAAAATAAAGGGTCTATTTATATAATTTTCAGATTTTATTTACCATGGTCCTTCGAGCCGAACATTATACGTGTTTTAAACTCACGATTTCAAATGTGTCACAATAGTCTGGTCCAAAGTATTCGACTCAATACATAGTACACTGATCTCGGTTCGACTACCCCTTTTAAACTGAGGTTACTTATTTGGTATTTGTGTTGACAGCCGGGATGGGACCTGGTAGATCCTATCTGCACATTCTTGTTCTCCGTCCTGGTGCTCATCACCACGTTCAACATCATCAAGGATACTCTGTTGGTGCTTATGGAGGGATCGCCCAGGAATGTTGATTTCCAGGTAATATATATTTGTATTTTTAGCCTTACACTATAATTTACTATAACCTTACACACACATAATAGCCTTACACTATAATACAGAATATGCTGACGCCATTTTCTCTTCAGGGGTACCACCCTTTTTCACGAAACATAGAATTCTTCCACATGCATTGAACACGCTTGCTTATCAAGGGTACCTGTGTGGTGAAGCCATTTTAAAAGAATATTAGCCTCTGTTAAATTATTGAATATTAACCATTTAGTTAATTTTTGTTTCAATGTAAGTAATTATAAACTGCTGCGTGATTGCTAAAAAAAGATAAAAACAATCTTTAAAGCGTTGTGGTATGTCCAGTCAAATCATCACAAACAGTTCAGTTCATACTTCTTGAGTTTTTGAAGCGCACACGAACCAACTTTGCATTTTTATATGTCCAGATGCAAACAATTTTTTTGTAGTAATTTTTCAAACCTAGCATTTTTATCTATCCGTGTGGTGACGGATTAAGAATACGGAGAGTCACCACCCCTATTCATCCCGTGGGTGTCGTAAGAGCCGACTAAGGGAGCAAACTAAGCAGGACAACAGCACTACAAAGAGAAGGAAAACTTGACACAAACTCTATACCAACCCGTCGTGCCAGCGTGGTATAGTAGGCCAAAACCTCCTTTCTAAGGAGAGGCCTATGTCCAGCAGTGGACTATTAAAGGCTGTTGATGATATCATTTTATCATTTTCAAATCATGTATCTACTGAGAATTCTTGTTTTAGGAATAGGTTTATGTCAGCGCTTTGGCGTTGGGATCTTTTAATAAAGGCTGTTTTTGGAATTTGAAAAACAAGAAGTAGTACGTTAACTCGTTGATGGGTGTACATTTTACAAATTTACGCCTTAAGAATTAGTCTAATACCGCTCAAATTGGCTTTTCTATTCCCAGGAGGTAGCCAATACATTCCTGTCGCTGCCCGGCGTGGTCCGCATCCACAACCTGCGGATGTGGGCTCTTTCTTTGGACAAGACCGCTCTCTCCGCACATTTAGCTATTCGTAAGTACATACATTCACGGGACTGGTGAAGAAACTGGAAAGCGTTTTAAGAAGAAAAAATATAAAAAAGAACTTTTTTTGGTATAAACTACCTTCCTATATGTAGTTTGATAACATATTTTTCTAACCCCATGTCTGAGGATTTCGTATTGTTAGAAATAATAATATATAATCATAATAATAACTTTACACATCAAATATACGGCCGTCTGACCCCATACCAGGCAGAGCTTGTACTATGGTAACCAGACTGTGATAAACATACTTATATATTTCTAAATACATACATAGATAAATTACACCCAGACCAGAACAAATGATAGTTGCTCATCACACAATGACTTGTCCTCGATTGGAATCGAACCCCATTCCTGACCAGTCAAAAGTTATTAAAAAAAAATGTACATACATTTTTAACATTGTTTATATCTGCAAAACAAAACAAAATAAACTTAAATACCCTATTTAATAATAGTATCTTAAAAATAAATTATTTAATCATAGATATTTAACTTCAATATTAAATATGTTACAGGTTGTGGAGTTAGTCCGCAGAAGGTTCTAGAAGAAGCCACCCGTTTGGTTCACGACAAATACAACTTCTTCGAGATGACGTTGCAGATTGAGGAGTTCAACGACACTATGGAGGACTGCAGCCAGTGTAAGATGCCGCAAACTTAGAGTAGGACCCTATAGGGCGGGGCTAGGGGACTAAGGGAGATCTTTAGAGTATCAGAGATCAGTCAGACAACCTTGATCTAAGTATACGGACATAAAAAAGACCAAATATATTATACAGTATTTAAGTAGTTTTTTTTTTTTTTAATTTGCCAAATGTTATTTTGATCGTAGTTACTACTTTTTATTTATTCTTGTTTTTTGACACTTGCTTGAGAACGTAACTGAGTCCGTAGAATAACTGAAAAAACCGTAAAAATCAAAGTCCGAAATATTGAATTACAATACTGTCAATGTATTTTATTTTTTAAGTATTTCTTTAAACGAAATATTCTTTTACTAAAGAAAAATAATTAGGTTTTATTCTACGCAGTGATGAGAATCAATATCAATATAAAAAACCGATAGTTAACAGTGGATCTGGATTATTGGGTTTACAATAATTAACCTTGAATTGTTGCAATTAAAGTTCAAACTTAGTATTTAGCTTGCCTGGTTTATCCTAGCTTGTTAAGTTCGGACCAGCAAACAACTTCGTTCTAGGTATGGTGCCTAGGCCATTAATTAAAAAAAAAAGTCTTGTTATTAGCAATCATATTGTCAAGATATTATAACAAATACAAGAAAGTCCTACTCGCAAATTTATTGTCTAATTTACTATTAACATATTTTTTATAAAATAAATAAGTATTTTTCACTATAAGTCTTCCCAACCTAGTCCCGCCCACGTATCTAAGTTCCATCTAGTTGATATTAAGAGCAGGCGCTTGCATATACAGTATTTATTACTTAGTAAAAACACAACCACCTCGTGTAATTTACCATAGATAAATTAGTCTATAATTTTGTTGAACCAAACCAGCTATAACAGAGCTATTCTCTAACTTAAAATTTTAATTGTTAACTTACATAATCATATTTTTCACCAAATTCTACTATTAATGAAACCTATTTCGAATAAAAGTGAAGGATTGTCACTTAAACTATAAAAATGACACCACGCAACAACTGTACCGCAAGGGACGTTGCTCAAAAACACATATCGTACGTACAATGTTACACATAAAACTATAGGGTATATTATAACTTGACTTGTCATGGTACAAAAAATCTATACAATGAAAGTTCAAGTAATACGTTTTAATATACTAAAACAAGATATTTAAATTGTCCGAAATTCGTTCACCAGTTTATCTCTAGTTCATATTTTAACATTTAGCAATGTTAGAAGTGACTGGGACATGATTTTGTTTTAACGAATATATATTGTACGATAGTTGTCTTGTATTCTTATGAATCATTCCATCCGCAGCCATTGCAAGCAAGAGAACAGCCCTTTATAAAACAAAAACCGTTCAACGTTCTATTTTTAAATAAATACCATAAATAGAGTTGTTTCCTAAACACAATGAATAGTTAGTATTAGTTGTTTTTTTTCTAAGTATGTCAAACTTGCTGAGTACTTGGTGAACAATAAAGTGGAACAGAAGCTGAAGCCAAAAAATAAAATAAAAAGAGGCTATTTTTAATATATACTTTAAAAAAAAGTTCTCTTTTTTAAATTTCAACTTTTCAAGAGATTATCGATGATGTCTTGTGCCGTATTTTTTTTAAAACTTTTTTTATAATAACGGTTATGAAATATTACCTTGAGCCTAGATCAGCATGTTCACTAAAATCCGAATTTATGATTAAATAAAAGTATATAAAGAATTATTGTTATTTATGGTATAAAAGGTTATTTGTATATAGCGTAATATTTATTAGTGCGTAGAATATAATATAATTGTAATTAATAAATAATACAATGTAAGCAAGTTAAATAATTTTAAGGTTCTCCTTTGAACAATAAATAAATGATTATTTTGTGATTAAATCGTTTTCCTTCCATTTTCGTAAGTGTTTAATAAAACCAATATTTTACTTTGGCATTCTTTATTTCTGAGTGATTGAACAATAATACTTAAAAACCAAAATAGAGAGTATAAAATTATATTTTGCTGTACGTGTATCGCCCTAAGAAGCCAGGTAGACAGCCAGTGGCCGCTACGTTTTTGTAGTAAGAGAAAGACTTCCGCGGAGTCCTCGTTAAGTTAACAGACTTATAGTCCACTTCACACAGACCGAAACGTTCACTGAAACAGCAATATAAATCATGAAAAAATGAGTCATCGCAAAATGTCTGGCGGATGTAAAACTTCGAAATTATTTTATAGAAATAATGAGTATAAATCACTTTGATAATCAGCGTGAGAGACTCGCAGGGTCACTTGCCCATGGCGACGCGTCGCCACACCGCATTACATGTTACATATACTATCACATAGTGTGGCGACGAGTCACCACGCCAACAGCCGCATGAGACCCTAGACATTAGCTTCATATCAAAATATGTAGGTACCTAACTACCTCCTACTATACTTATAAGGACTAGAGGATATATTAGACTAGAGGACTAGATAGACTAGAGGATATACACAGCGCCGTTACGTTCGGCACTAGTAAAGTCAAGCCCAATATTATTCAATATTCATTAACGTTTGTAAAAGTTAAAGTTGGAAGAGCCATGTTTACCGTAGGATTGGTTCGGTACAAATGGGCCGACTCGACCGGAGTGATACCACGGCCTCACACTCCCTCCCCCTTTTCGGGGGAACGGGAGGGGGTGGATTCTGTGACTCCTGAATCACTTATCATCAGATTTCCAGTCTGTCATCGATATCAACAGCCCTTTAATAGTCCACTGCTGGGTATAGGCCTCTTCTTAGAAAGGTTTTGGCCTACTATACCACGCTGGCCAGACGGGTTGGTATAGGGTTTGTGTCGAGTTTTCCTTCTCTTTTGCAGTGCTATTATCCTGCGTGGTTTGCTTCCTTAGTCGGCTCTTACGACACCCACGTATTCTTAATCCGTCACCACACGGATATACCTTTAAAAAAAACTACTTACGAATACCCTCTCATCCATTCAAAATTATCTAATAAGCTCCAATATATGTACGCCTTAACTCTGCAATGATCCTTTGTAACAGCGGCGTGAAGGGACCTTAAATACGAATCGATGTACTGAACCCGCTTGGCATCACTTAAACCCGGTTTGGTTGATATGCCGTTCTCTGTTACTAATATTATAGGGTTGTTATACGTAGTTTTAATCCAGTTTAATGCCCTTCTGAAGCCCCAAGGCACTACCTGTAAGAAGAAAATTATGATTCATGATGCTTTATTAACTTAAAAAAAAAAAGACTACTCCCGCATTAGGAATATATCCTGTGTCGCAGGGAACTTTACAAACATACATGAAACGGACACAAAGAACACCCAGACTCAGAACAACCATTTGTAGATCACACAAAGTGTCGTCCCATGTGCGGATTGAACCCACAACACTCAGCGCAGTAGGAAGCGGCGTGGTGACCGCTTAAACCACTACGCCATCCGTGCAGTCTACTAATTCAGTATATGTATGTAATAAGATAGGCTCAAAAATAAAGAAAAGATTGATGGACTTCGCAAAAGAAGATATGGCTAAAGGAGTAAGCAGTAAACTGGCGAGTGATATTTGTTTCCTCAAATTGATTTGAGGTTGGCACAATTAGTTTTCTTTTCCATTCTCTCACTAACATAATATAATATTCTATTATATTATAAAGGAGTATGGAAAAGAAAACTAGGCATTGCGATGATGATGAAGATAGTTACACAAATGCCAAAGTAATCGCTAAACATACACAAAAATAATGTTCAGCGGAATTAAGGATATCCTCTTAGAAATTTGTTAGAAAATCACACACAACTCAGCATTGCTGTCAACACAACCTAACTCCCTTAACATTGGCAAGGGCTGAAAGCTTCGACACTTGTTTTAAGTTACAGGTGTCTATAGAGGCGAAAGACACTTGCCATGAGGAGACCCGTCTGCTCGTTTACCCCCCATTCAATAAAAAAACTTACCCTGAGCCACGTAGAATTCGACTTCGGCCAATTATCATTCTGGAAGATAAAGGCGTTCATGTCGTCTTCAAAGGATGGTTCCATTCGCACTTTCCCCGTCCCCAGCTGAGCCAAGTAAGTCGTGTAATGGTTGACTCCCATGAAATCGTATGAGCCTTGTATCATTTTCACTTCCTGCGACGTGAAGTTTGGTAGACGAGAGCGCGAGAAACCTTGCCTTGCGGAATTTACATCGATTTTATTTCTCATCACGGCAGGATAGTCGCCTGATGTAGAGAAGATTGGGTTGGCGAACCAGCCAAACTGAAAAGGCAAAATAGAAAAAAAGAACTATTAATGAGGAATAACTGAACGAATTGAGCGAAGCTACAGAAAAAAGATAGTAGGTACTTTTATAGTCTTCTAATAAACCTACTTCTAGAGACCCGTAGAATGAGCTGTGTAATCTCATCAGTTCTCCTCTATCCTATAGTATATAGTGTTTTCTTTTGGACATACGGAACCTCTAAAAATACCTATCCTAGTTTGGTGTACGTGTCTTACATTAAACTGTCTAGCAGTCTCTGCTGCAATCTGGTCTCCAGTAGAAGTGCTTGCTGCTTCCATCCATGGAATATTTAGTGATATTCCCATGTGACCTGTAATAGAAATACTTAATTTGTCATTTAACTGTAAGATTTACATGACGCTTTACGCCGTCGATTTTTAACTTCTTTAAAATAGTAGCTAAGAATATTATCAAGTGACCTATCGAATAAAAGAAATAAGTGATAATCGATTCATCAGTTTAGGAACTTTGATGCCACAGACTGATCTGGATCTGGAATCGCTTAAGGCATTTTTTTTTTTCGATCTTCCTAATCACTGTTTTCCTGCGGAATATTTGTGATTGTTTACAGTCTCTTGCCTTTTGGCAATTTTAAATTGGTTTAAGCGGTCGCCACGCCGCTTCCTACTACGCCGAGTGTTGTGGGTTCACCACATGGGACGAGTGTTGTGGGTTCACCACATGGGACGACACTTTGTGTGATCCACAAATTGTTGTTATGAGTCTGGGTGTTCTTTGTGTCCGTTTCATGTATGTTTGTAAAGTCCCCCACAACACAGGATATATTACTAATGCGGTAGTTGTCTTTATAAAGAGATAAAAGAGGGATTCAACATCCATAATACTTATATTTGATGCTCTTTTCCTGATATCCTTTTTATATCGAACTTGCGTTGTTCCTAATTTAGTTTTCTCCCTTTGTACCGAATATTTCGACACAATGGGTCTGTAATTTGACTGATTTTATTTGGTAAAAGTACGATTGACTGATAAAGAGCTTTGATTGGAACATTATAACCAGTAATCGTTCTATATTATATCCAAATACCTTGCTTAGAAAATTATTTTGAATTAAAGAGACATGACAACACGTCTTCATAGATTAATTGCAGGCGCACTTCTTTTTCCGAGTGCCCGCCGCCCGCACCTCTCTCGGTCCCCATTCTCGTCCCCCCTATTCCCCGCAGGCGAGGACTCAAACGCTGTTTATCTATAGTCAAGGAACTCCATAAACTCTGACGAAAATAATAAAATATAACATAAATCAGAATGGTTGTTTTGCTTACCTTTAGAATAATTCCGATAAACGTCATTGAACAAGCGGTAGACCATGCCATGAGCTCTCAGGACATTATGACCACACATATAGTCCTCAAATCCACTGGATCTGCCGCCAGGTGCGTCGTATCCACCATATCCATCATGGCAAAACGACAGGGGCTCATTAAATGTCAGCCAAATTTTAACCTTGTCCGAGAAATTATCGAGAAGGATCTGTAATTGGAAACAGTGACTTGTAATAGCATACTAATAATGGTTTATCTAAGTTTAAGGCACTTTAAAGTCATCAGTCACAATTCAAGCAGAAATAGCTGTGCCGTACCTTTCTGCCTTTATCGTCTTGGATTAAATGAATATACTACATAATGCAACGGGATAACGTTAAAATTAATATAAAAAAAAACCATTATAATAAATAGTTGAAAGCAACGTTTATACGATGGTTTCCTCACAAGAGGAATATATTGCAAAACAGTCCTGATTAATAAAAGCCCTTAAAAGAAGAATATCGGAGTTAAAGGCCCATATAATGTTACATGATAGACAATCGTCATAAAAACCAAAGACAAGAATCCAAAAGAGACAAGAAAATAAAAAATATTGATTCATTCTGCTAGCTCCGAAAGGTCGGTACTCACTCTAGCGTAATCAACGAAGTAATCAGCCATTATAGGGTTTGTCCACCCTCCTAGATTCTGCAGATTCTGGGGTAGATCCCAATGATACATCGTTACTAGTGGGACGATCTTGTTTTGAAGCAGTTCATCTATCAGCTCCTGGTAATATCTAAGACCATCTTCATTCACCTCACTGAAATTAGAAATGTTGGCATATACCCTCTTCTAAAATCCCTTCGGATCTCCTGTTCGTCGGGGACTCCGGAGCTAGGAGTATGTGGTGATTCCACTAAAAAATACCCCGACGACCGGCCTCAGGTGCCCTACTCTGGGAGGACCATGTTATTTCAGGTCCTCCCTGAATTGACACCATGCTCAAACAGGCCCTATACCAGGGGAAAAACACTTCCCCCCTCAATCGCGACGTGGCAGCCCAATTTCGTCGTACCGCAGCATTTAATCTGCAACCAGAGGTCCCCACTCTCTGGCGGCCCGCGGCCCCATCGGCGGCTGGTATGGCCGCCGACATGTTGGCAGAGAAAGAAATGGAAGTATGTACCTTGTTCTATTCGTAATTCATTTAGAAAGCTTTTTTTCTGTTCACTTACTGTTATGCCTTTATTTTCATAGGGTTTTTGTACCTAGTGAGCATTTTTCTGACACTTAGATACAGCTGTCAGAACAGGGCCATCAGCTTCTTGAAACGGAACTATATTAGTAGCAGGAAAGGTCGACAAATGAGTTGCTCTTATCCATATGCCTTTTTTTTTTTTTTTTTTTATCCATATGCCTAAGAAAAAATAATCAACCACAGCCTAGTGCAAGTTTATTTCACATCAGCTCGCTCTCGACAGCGAGCGAGTTGCGATTGGTGCAGATTTCAGTGCAGCCAATCACAGCGCCGAACGCAGTCACCTTGACGATCGAGTCCCCACGATTGGCTCTGAACAAATACATTATAACTTTGACTTTGTTACTTACTTGCTTAACCCGTTAGGTAGTATCCTTGTCCAGGATATAGAGAACCTGTACATGCTGACGCCAAGGAGTTTCATGAGCCGAACATCTTCTTTGAATTTGTAGTACGAGCCATCAGCTACATCCCCATTAGTGTGGTCAAATACTCGGTCTGGATGCTCGTGGGTGTAGTGGTCCCAGATACTTTCACTTTTACCTAAAAAATTAAAAATATATAAGTGACCTGATTGATCTGGTGGTTAGTGCTACTGACTGCAGAGCCAAAGGTTATATGTCGTGTTTGTTTGTTTGTTTGTTTGGACGCGCTAATCTCAGGAACTTCTGGTTCGATTTGAAAAATTCTTTCAGTGTTAGATAGCCCATTTATCGAGGAAGGCTATAGGCTATATATCATCACGCTAAGAGCAATAGGAGCGGAGCACCAATGAAGAATGTTTCAAAAACTGAGAAAATTTATTACTATTGAGAGACGCAGACGAAGTTGCGCGGGTCAGCTATAATGTATAAAAGTAATAATTAGAACTTTTAACCGGTCAAAAGTGTTTTCGGAGTGATAAGGAAAATGTGGCGAAGAAAGACAAATGATAGAGATGAATAGAAGAATCATACTTACTGCGTTGACCCCAAATAAAATTGGGATAAGGGTAGGAAAAAAAAATGTTCCTTAGAAAGGAGCTTTTGGCCTACTATACCACGCTGGCCAGACGGTTTGGTATGGGGTTTGTGTCAAGTTTTCCTTCTCTTTGCAGTGCTGTTGTCCTGCGTAGTTTGCTCCCTTAGTCGGCTCTTACGACACCCACGGGATGAATAGAGGTGACACTCCGTATTCTTAATCCGTCACCACACCGATAATATTTTTTGTCCATATTGTTTGTTTATTTGTTAACGATGATATCATTATTACTAGGTACATGATAAACAATATTTCAAAATTACTATAACTGACTTTAAATTACCTATATCTTATTTTATTTTTATTTTAGAGCGTACTGCTTTCCTACTCGTTTCTAGGACTCCTGAGTTGCAGACGTTCTTAGGCGTCGATGTTCACTTTCCATCAGATGACCCGTCTGCTCGTCTGCCCCTCTAACATAGAAATGCATTGCAGTGCATCACAGCATGGCTCTAACACACACAGAAATTGAGAATACTCACCTGAAATGTTCCAAGCTCCCTCTATTTGGTACGAAGCCGTCGCCACGCCGAATACAAAGTCGTTAGGAAAACATATCTTCGGGCCATACTCCTGACAATCACCACTGAAATTTTCACAGACATGTTAGGAAATCATTTGTGTTACAGAGTGCTACAGAATATGCAATACACAATATATCACCAGAAACGTCGGCTTCTGATGATATTTATTTATTGCCTCCCTGCTTATGTTATGTCGAGAAATAGAAAGTCGGTAAAAGTTTTCAAATTTTTACTAGTTATAGAATAACGTTTAAAAGTCATTTTGTTGATCACACAAAGTGTGGTCTCATGTGGGGGTCGAACCCACAACTCTCAGTGAAGTAGGAAGTGTCGAGGTGACCGCTTAAACCACTACGCCATCCGTGCAGTCAAAAGTTTATTATTTTTTAATCGGTATCGAATTGATGCCCAGAAATTAGCTACGTTTTAACATCAGTCGAAATATATTAATGTGGCATAAATGCTGCCTACATTTTAAATTTAACAACACTTTCAGTGTAGGTTAATAACAGCATAACTACATCGACGGCGAAGTATAAGAAGGAAGGAAGGCATATAAAGAAAGCATGAACTGCACCCTGCAGCAAACGTCAGCAAGAAAGTCAAGAAGGTAAAGGACTTCCACATTTCTGCTAAAATTGAAAGTCTCGTCTTACCAAAGGCAGTCAATGGGACTGTTCCATAGGAAGGAAAGAAAGCCAGAACATATTCAACAAAAGACATACTTAAATCCTGGTACCAACAGCTTGCCTCCTTTACCAACTAATTAGATAAATAGTTAAAGGAAAGATGTCTTGATGGTTGGTCCCAATCACATGGGGTTACCACCGTGGAGGAACAAGTGTCAACTCCAACAGTCTTTCCGCAAAGTAGGTCACTCTTAATCCAGTTTTCCCCCTTTTTTTTTCCCTCGAAATCCCCTCGGATACCACCTGTCGGTGGCATGTCGGACTCGAACCGACTAAAACCGCACGCCGTCTCGGATACTAATAGCCGGGGAACCAGGTATACCCTAGAAAGGAAGTCCCTGGTGCCCCGACATACCTCGGGTCATCTACAGACGAGTAGACGACCCCCCCCCATGGGAACCCCATGTTCCCTGTGCTCCCTGGAAGCGAGCGCGCTTCGCAACGCGCTCGCCGCCACCCCGGCCTGCTTCTGCTAGGGTGACAGATGGCCTCACCTGTCCCCCCCAGGCCTGCGCTTATGGAGGACGGAGGTCGTTCTGCGACCTCCGGCGCCTGAGTCGCCTGCGGTACCTGGCCCGTTCCCGGGCCTGGGACTTAAAAAACCTCTCTAGTCTTTAAGAACGTAAAATGTTCAAATAATCAAAATTACATACCTGTGTATCAGAGCTAAATATAACAATATGCATTGTAATAACATTGTGAGTTATCACTATCACAGACGTCCGTTTGTCACAGCACACGACTATCTCGCTACACCCCCGGACTGTGAGTAAGTCAGATAGCCCTTTGGCTTTACAATAATAATAAACAGGAATGATACAGGCTGTTGTTAAAATATATGTCGACTGAATAAATAATACTTACTAATAAAAGAGAAAAGCCAATTCTTTCTTCACGTCACTAGCCTTTAATAGTCCACTGCTGGACATAGGCCTCTCCTTAGAAAGAAGGTTTTGGCCTACTATACCACGCTGGCCAGGCGGGTTGGTATAGGGTTTGTGTCAAGTTTTCCGTCTTTTCGCAGTGCTGGTGTCCTGCGTTGTTTTGCGCCCTTAGTCGGCTCTTACGACACCCACGGGATGAATTGGGGTAGTGACATTCCGTATTCTTAATCCGTCACTACACGGACAATTCTTTCTTGGGAGTCATAAACCATCGAAACAGTTTGCGATCTCTCTCCTACTAGTAAGTAGGATCTTTTTCGTTAGCTGCGGGATAGGAAATACTATATATACTAATAGTCTATAACTGCTTTAGATGTAGATGATGTTATGGTTTTGTATAACACCGTAGGAGAGTCAAACAAATGGGCTGGCTCGAAGTGATACCACAGCTTCACAGAAAACAGGTGTTTAACAATTCTTTAGTTACTTTTCCTTACTTACTTTACTTACTTTTAGTGAGCCGGTTCCTGGAGCTTAAACCCCTCTTGCCCCGTGACTCTGGGGAGGAGAACTAAAGAGCGGCTCCGCGCTAGTGACTCATGAGTTGCACTCCATGGTTGCCCCCCCCCCCCCCTCCATACCCTAAAAAACATATTGTTTGATTAATAGCAAGCAATGAAAGAAATTTAAGAATTTTAAGATGTATTCATAGTTACTCTCGTACTCTTAAAGTATGAGCAATGATATTATATGTAGAAACACGAGGCAGATACGCAACCAACGCAAAAAACTCGTGGGTCCTAATTAGGACCACTACGAGCGAGCGCACTTACTAATTAATTCGATAAGGTAAATAAAAATAACGGAATATCATCCCAAAGTATGTGTCAGAGATTTTAATAATGTGTTACAAATGTTTATTGCGTGCAGTATGAATATAACGTATCTTACTTAAAATATCATTGCGTTTATGACCAAATCTACAGCGAGGGTCGTCTGAGCTCTCTTCGTAAGGGTACGGAAGAGCGGTTGAGAGAAGTACTGAAATATTTTGATTTATGAAATACTGTCTGAAATCGACTTAGTAATTAAGGGAAGAAATGCAATTAAATCGGACTGTATGCATAGCACTTATATCGCGCAACTAGAGTCAACGACTTATGCTAAAACCTATCTCGTATTCGCGTACCACTTCTAGAAATATCTTTAAATCAATAATAATAATAATATTATCGAACATCTGACACACAACGCCATCTAGTTTCAAACTAAGCAGAGCTTGTACTATAAAAGCTAGAATGACTGATATGGAATACTTATATACTTTTTTTTCTAAATACATACATATTATACATAGAAAACACCCAAACTCCGAAACAAATATTTGCAGATCATACAAACATGTGATCCGACCTGGGAATCGAACCCGAGACCTGTTCATAGCAGTCGTATATGTTACTACTGCACCACCGAGACAGAGAGAATCAATGAGTATGACTCTAATTATGAAATGTCATATTGATTCAAAGATACGAGTATGTAGGGGAAATTCATTAACAGTTAAACGAAAGAATTTTTGATTTTATTTTTTCAGAATTTGTCAAAGTATCTTCATACGTATATGTACCTTATTTTTTTTTTTTTTTTCCGTGCGGAAATCCCCTCGGATACCACCTGTCGGTGGCATGTCGGACTCGAACCGACTAAAACCGCACGCCTTCGCCGGGGACTAATAGCCGGGGAACCAGGTATACCCTAGAAAGGAAGGCCCTGGTGCCCCGACATACCTCGGGTCATCTACAGACGAGTAGACGACCCCCTCCCCGTGTGGGAACCCCATGTTCCCTGTGCTCCCTGGAAGCGAGCGCGCTTCGCAACGCGCTCGCCGCCACCCCGGCCTGCTTCTGCTAGGGTGACAGATGGCCTCACCTGTCACCCCCAGGCCTGCGCTTATGGAGGACGGAGGTCGTCCTGCGACCTCCGGCGCCTGAGTCGCCTGCGCTGCCTGGCCCGTGCCCGGGCCTGGCGGGCCGGGAGAGTTCTAAACCTCTCCCGGTCCCGCTCCGCCGTCTCCTTCGCGAGCATAACTTGCTCGCAGAAGGAGACGGCAGAGTTCCACGCACTCTCGCTCCGCACGATAGCCGCAATCAGGCTATCGAGCGAGAGAACTCCCACTCCGATGGCCGCCACGAGGTCTCGCCTCTGCTCAACCCACGCCGGGCACTCTGCCAGCGTGTGGAGAGCCGTGTCCACGGTCTGGCCATCGCAGTGGTGGCACTCAGGCGTTGGCTCCTTGCGGATCAGACACAGGTGATCTCCGAAACATCCCTTCCAGCAGGTGATCACTGCCTGCGTCAATCGGTATGAGAGGGTCCCGTGACGCCTCTCGAGCCAATCCTCCATAACGGGTCTTACCGCCGCAATGACGGCGTGCCCAGCGCTCGGTTGCCCGAGTCGTTCCCTCCACTCCCCTATGATGACCTGGCGGAGTTGGGATTTCCGGTCATCGATTTCTCGAATCTCGGGGCATCGACCCAACTCCTGCGCCTCCTTGCGCCACTGATACAGTGCCGCAAGGGCTCTCGCCTCCAGGTCCCACGGTGGAGTTCCGGCCAGGAGACTCGCTGCCTCAAAGGAGATCGTGCGGTACCCCCTTATGATCCTGATGGCCAGCATTCGCTGCGGTCGTCGCAGTATCGCGACGTTGCTGGCCTTCAGGGCCCCCGCCCATACCGGGCACCCGTAAAGGGCCATGGACCGCACAACCCCCGAGTAGAGTCTCCTGCAGGAGTCATCGGGTCCCTTCATGGTGGGCAGCAGCTGCGCCAACGCACGCGCTGCCCCAACCAACTTGGGGACCAGACCCCGGAAATGATATCCGAAGTCCCATCGGCCATCGAGTACGAGCCCCAGATACCTGATCGAGGGCTCGATGCCGATGCGAGTGCCTCCTACCGTGAGGCTAGATCCCTCAGGCGGCTTCCTCCGAAGCCCGTGGAAGAACAGGGCCTCGGACTTGTGCAGAGCCACCTCGAGACCCAGTCGCCGGATACGCTCAACGACTTGGGCAACCCCGGCCGTGGCCCTCAGGGTTGCCTCGTGGTGCGTCTTGCCGCGCGCCGTCACGAGTGTGTCGTCCGCGTAGCACACGACGGCGACACCATCCAAGAAGGCACCACGAAGCACCCAGTCGTAGCCGATGTTCCACAAGAGTGGCCCTAACACCGACCCCTGCGGAACACCGCACGACATTTCACGCCTACCGAGACCGGTCCTACTGGGGTAGACGACGGCTCTCTCCGACAAATATGCCCCGACTATGCGGCGGAGGTAGAGAGGCACTTCGTGATACACGAGCGCCTCCCTGATGCAGCTCCAGGGCATAGTGTTGAACGCGTTGGCGCGTTCCAAGGACACCGCCAACACCACTTCGCCCCGGGAGACTGCTTCCTCCGCCAGAGCCTTCACGAGCATGATCGCATCCACGGTGGAGCGCCCCTGACGGAAACCGTACTGGTTGTCCGCCAGATCCGGCCCAACCATCACGAGATGCTTGACGAGGCGCCTTGCAATCACTCTTTCAAAGAGCTTGCACACCTCGTCAAGCAACACTATGGGCCGGTAGGCGGACGGTGAGTCCGCCGGGCGCCCCTCCTTTCGGATGACGACCAGTTTCCCCGTCGTCGTCATCCACGTTAGGCGCCTCAAGCGCCGGAGGCGGAGCCATCTGTGGCGGAGTATGCTCCACCACTCGCGTTGGGAACAGGTAGCCAACGACCCTCTCAAGCAGCTCTGGCTGAAGACACCGTGTGAGCGGCGGGGCCCATGGGCGCATCTTGCCCCTAACCATACGGTAGGGGCGTCCCCACGGATCCTGCTCCAGTGTCTCCAGCATCTCGCGGCGGGCTTCGCTCTTGGCCCCCTTTATCGCTGCCTGAAGGGTCCTCTTGGCAACCCTGTAACCCGCTAACAGCTCCGCCTCTCTCGCTGCCGCATCTTCGGGGCGACGACGCCTCCTGCGGAACCTGGACCACCTGCGGCGCGCGGTCACGCAGGCTTGACGCAGCCGTGCGATCTCCGGCGACCACCAGTAGACCTGGCGCCTTGCAGTATTGGGCTGAGCCCTAGGCATCGCCGCATCGCAGACGCGGGTCATGGCCTCCCGGAACCACTGTGCTTCAGCATCGACGTCGACAGGCCTGTCCGGCGCAGGAGCCCAGGCCTGTACGATGGCGGCTTCCAGGAGGACGTATATGTACCTACCTACCTGAAGAGATGGTCAATCGTGAAGTAGTACAGCGCCATATTTACCTTAGTAGTTGGAGGATGCGAAGACGAGATCAAGCGTAGATACGCCATCGCTTGGTCAGCAGTAGAACGGTTAGGAAAAGTTTTGGAAAGACAACAGATACACCAAGAACACAAAGGTCCGCTTGATAAAGTGCCTCGTATTTCTTTTGCAAACCTCGAAAACAAGATTCTGACATCAGAACCGCTCCCAGACGGGTTGGTATAGGATTTGCTTCAAGTTTTTCTTCTTTTTACAGTGCTGTTGTCCTGTGCAGTTTGTTCCCTTAGTCGGCTCTTACGGCACCCACGGGATGAATAGGGACATTCCGTATTCTTAATCCGTCACACACAAAAAAATAAAACATACATTTGTTAAAAATACGGGTTTAAATTGAAATTATATGCATATTTGATTACATACTATAAAAATATTTGATTGAAGACGACATTTTGTTTTTTTGCGTAATAACTTGTAGATATTAACAATTTAAATGTTGTAGGCACAACAAACTTTGTAACAAAAATATTGTGTATCTAAAATAAAAGAATCCTAGGAATCAATATTGATCTTTGACGGGCCTGTTGGCGTAGAGGTTAGTGATCCTCAGTGCTAATCTAGAGGTCGTGGGTTCGTGTCCCACCGAAAACAAATAATTGTGTGATGAGTACTATCATTTTTTCTGTGTCTGGGTGTAATTTATGTAAAATAATGTTTGTCTTTAGAAATATATTTATAAGTACTATCAACAGTTTGGTACGGGGTCTGCATGGTTTGGGATCAAATGGCCATTTCTGAGATGTGGGAGGTTATTATCATTTTCCCATTTGTTTAGAGGTTATTATCATTTTCCCATTTGTTTATTTTCCCATTTGACTAAATGCTGGATACCATAAAACTTAAAGAAGTTACACAAATTATTTATAAGTAAGAATAAAAGTTAAAGTTTGAAGAAGACTGTAAAATCGATATCGGTTCCCTAACTACGTAGATGAAAAGCGGAGGCTGGGGGGAATGAGAGCACACCCAACTCCTACTACGCGCATGCGCCGGTGGGTATTAGTTATTTATTAATTGATCAGAATCGAGCTCACCTAATATGATTTTAAACTGACAAGTCAACTGTACAGGGAGAATAGAGCTACATGGGAACTGTGTTATTCTAAATTAAATGCGACAATTATATCAGAAGTATTGTTAATGCAAAATCAACAGTAATGATAATAAAACGAGCACACTATTATAAGGACAATATATATATATATATTTATCAAAGGTCAAGGTCAAAGGTCAGAAAGTTATGTTACTACGAAGTCATAACAGGGGTGTATAGATAGAGATAAAAAATTAAACTACAGTAATTTCAAAACCACATAGAAAATAGAACTGGGGTCAGAAACGGGAATGAATATAACTATCCCTAGTTTTTTACTGATGTTTCCTCAGAAGCTTCTTCATCAGCACTCTCGGGCTTCTGATGTGCTTCCTTAACACCGACTCGTGTCCTGGAGCGAGTTCTCAAGGGATCTGTTAAGATGATTGGCACCTCGCGTTCTTTGGATTTTTGATTGAGCACGGAAGGTACAAATACGGTCAGAAGCCCATCAGGAGACACCCGGCACTGCACATCCTCAGCGACACAACCTTCAGGCAACTGGTACTTCCTTATGATCTCACAAGACCCCCACTCACAATTACCATCTTCCTTATCTTCATGCTTCATTATAATAAAGACGAAGCCATCCGAGGTCTTCACAGAGAGCTCGTCAGGGGCAAAATGCTTTAACATTATATTAACCTGAAATCTATTTTTGCTTGATTCATATGCACTTTGCAGTGTTTGATGCCTCATATGTCGCCATTGTTCAAAGGTCGGGACGTGCGCTCCGGAGAACACTTCTTCGGTGGGAGCGAACGAGTAGTTTGGAGCGCCAGCGCTATTGTGGCTTAAAGGAGACCCGAAAAAGAATGAGAATCCTGGCGCCGTCATTTTCACTGAATTTCTGAACGGTTAATAAATTTTAATATATTGCGTTGCAGGGCGGAGTGCACTGCGCATCAAGGGCGCGCATGATATGGTGGGGGTGGTCTAGACAGTAGTTGCAAACCTTCTAGTGCATAGAGTCTGTATGCATTTATTTGGTAGTTTTAGGTCAATTTAGTTGTTTAAACTTGATAGATTGATCTGATATGTAAATAAAATATAGCTGCCTGTATAAAATAACGGATCTCGTATCTTTTTTCAATCCCCTTAATATCTATACTAATATTATAAAGCTGAAGAGTTTGTTTGTTTGTTTGAACGCGCTAATCTCAGAAACTACTGGTCCGATTTGAAAAATTCTTGCAGTGTTAGATAGCCCATTTATCGAGGAAGGCTATAAGCTAAATATCATCACGCTAAGACCAATAGGAGCGGAGCACCAATGAAGAATGTTACGAAAACGGAGAAAAATTATTACTATTGAGAGACGCAGACGAAGTTGCGCGGGTCAGCTAGTTAGTGATAAAGTTCAATGTATCAGATGTTTAGCAAGTAGAACGCGATGTATGGTGGATCATAAAGTTTAGACAGTTTACACATTAAACCTGAAACCGAGGCTTCCAATCAACACAAAAAACTTCGTCAAGTTCTCTGATTTACAGGCAGGCCTTGTATTCCATGTTATTCGCTCGCAGTGGTCGGCAAACCGCCTTTTAGGAGCCGCGGCTTACATTTTTAATTTATAAAAATAAAGATCATCTATACCGTGGGAGAACCGTGCTTCAGCACGAATGGGCCGGCTCGACCGGAGTGATACCACGGCCTCACAGAAAACTGGTGTTAAGCAATTCTTTCGTTGCCTTTCACTGAGTGAGTGAGGTTACCGGAGCCCAAATCCCCCCTCCCGCTGATGGAGCGGGAGGTAATCCAAGGGTGGCAACGCACTTGTGACTTTTGAGTTGCAGGTGTCCATGGGTGGCGGTAGTTGCTTACCATCAGGTGACCCGTCTGCTCGTTTGACCCCTTATACTTATATACTTATACTTATAAAAAAAAAACATATCAACAGTTGTATCCACAAAAACTGTTGTATGGACCTATCTACTTCATACCGCCTAACTGTGTGATAGATATTTATTAAATAAATAATTAAATAAAAATATGTATAAATAACTATATAAAAAATTTATACAAATTTTTCTACAGGTATTTAATATACTTTTTAACTTTTGTTTTATTATTATGTTCAAGGGTTTATTTTCACTCAAAGTATAACATTTTATGGCACGGTTATTAAGAAATAACAAAGAAAAACAAAAGACAAAAATCGTGAATTCAAGGTACAGTAGATAGAAAAACAATGCGTTTATCCAAAACTTAAATGGTGATCCGACCTGTTTAATTTGTCAATAAGAAATGGCACATAACAAAGAATCTAATTTAGAAGACACTTTACGACTAAACACGAATCATTTAGTTTCAAATATTGGTGATGGTTAGTGATGCAAAGAAGAAAGCAGTCGAAGAACTCCAGAGCAGTCAAAAGAGGCAAATTTCAAAGGCCAATTGCGGCGTGCAATCTTCTAACGATTTGACTATACATACGGCGTAGTAGTATGCTTATCTCGTACTCCCCGCCGTTCTTACTTAGTCGCCTCCCCGCTTTCTACTGCGCTGAGTATTGTGGATTCGATCCCCACATGAGACAATACTTTATGTGATCGACAAATTATTGTGTTAACTTAAGGTGTAAAGCAGTCTAGTCTCAGATTATATTGTCTTCACACAAATTGCGCCACTAAAGAACAATGGCGAAGCGAGTGAGCACGCACAGTGAATCTTTGGTCGATCACAAGTTAATTTATATTAATAATTTTGGAATCATTTCCTGTTTTCGAAAGCACCTTATTCGCACTTAATTATTAATTTTAACACTTATTGTTCTTATATCTAGTATCTAATTCTTTGAACTTGCAGCACTTAATTAGCACTTAATTTCTTACTATTCATATTAATTGTAAACTCATTATTGTCACTGCGTTGCTAGCTTCACATTTTGCTAGCAACGCAAAATTTCAAAAGTTTTTGCAGTGAAAGTTTTTAAACACCTAATTTTTTATCTTGGCCCCTAATTAGCAACTAAAAAGCCCCTAATTTTGGCATTTTTAAATGCAAATTCCTGAATTTGCGTTGCTGGCGTGACAGAGCTAAAAATGGCTAATTAAACACATTTCAATTGGTTCTTTTGTATGACAAGGTTGGCGACCCATGCTCTATGCATTTATGTGGACTACAGACACGACGCTTTGACTGTCACTACATTAATATAGTTGACAACATTCGAAAACTTCTTCTGAAGCATATCTGGGATGCTTGAGAAGCTATCATTTAATCTATTTGAATTTAAAAAGTATCTGTAACACCTTGGTAAAAAACTGTAGCAGAGAAAAAGATGAAGTAAAAGCTATTGTTCTTTCAAAATAATCAAAATTATACAGGGTTCATTAAAAGAAACATTAAAATGGTTGATTAGATTAGTGTAGAAAATGATCTGTGGTATATTACCTCTGGTGGTACATCGCTGGGGGCGTTATTCTTCATTTCCTGCAAAAAAACAAAAAACAATTCAGCAATCCTCAATATAGACACAAAATTACTAAATTATGTAGTAAATGTTTCATAATTTGTGTTTTTTTTTCAATAAGTCACTCAGGGCCGTCTTTAGCCTATCCGAGGGCCTGGGCACATTGGGATAATGGGGCCCCTACCACCTTGACTGACTAGTATTCTTGTTAGAATAGCCAAAAAAGGTATTATAATCAGCCATTTCACTGGATTTTTCTAAATAAATATGGTTTTCTGTAATAAATATCGAATTAGGTAGGTAGGTAGGGATTAGGGAGCCTCTATCTATCTAGGGGTCCTGGGCACGTGCCCAGGCCCCTCTTTCCCACTGGGCACTCTGGGCACGTGCCCAGAGTGCCCAGTGGGAAAGAGGGGCCTGATGTCACTGCAAAAATAGCATTAAACTATTTTAAGTTTGCTTATTCACACATACTTACGGCAGATGAATTTCGGCCGTTTTGAATAAATAAATAATAAATTTGAATTTTATTTAATTGAAAGACCTACTGTTAGCCACCTTGACTGCTAAGCCAGAGGTCCTGGGCTCGATTCCCATCCAGGACAAATATAATTGTGTGATGAGCTTAACTATTTATTTTATCCGTGTCTGGATGTAATTTATCTACCTATAATATGGATAAATAATAACAAAGAACTTTATTTACACAAAAGAAAGATACTCAGTTAACATTACATTATAACTAGTCAAGTTCATTTGGTACGTTTTGACTTAAAAACAGCTATTCAATGACGAAAAAAGTATGTAATTTTATATGGTTAGGTTGGTATCCAAAGGGATTTCCGCACAGGAAAAAAAATATTTTTTTATTTCTTAACTTGAGACATCTCACACTCGGCCGTCTGATTCCAAATTAGGCAGAGCCTGTACTCTGGTAATCAGATTGCTAATAAACTATATAATATATATTTCTAAAGACATCCAGACAAAGAATAAATGATTAGTAATCTCTTAATAAATCTACATTTCTGTGCCTGCTCTGCAAAATAGCTGTTTTATGTGAGTAAAAGAACATCTAGAGAATTGCTATTCTACCTTGTTCACAATAAAAAGTAATATATATAATAAAAATGAACTATTAAAATGAACTTGGTACGTACACTAAGAAAGCATTAGGAATACAAAAGAGCCAACAAAAAAGCTTTCGAATCACTTTTTAATAGAAGGCCATCTAGCGCGGAGTAGCAGTACTATTCATAAATATTAGAAAGATAGATGGCGCTGTTCGAAACATTAAACAATTCCATTGACAGCAACGGTTGTTTCCAGAACTAATGCAGAACATAATTCTAAACGTGTCTGGTATTTTCTCGAAAGTACTTTTATGACGTAAATAACAGAGGGCGTTGTACACTGAGACTATAAATACGCGGGTAGAGCTCCAAACCGGCAGTTATTCACTGAGAGAAAATAAAGGCGATCAGAAGTTACTTGAAGGAAACAAACTTGAGTGTTATAAAAAATAAAAATGTCGCTCATTCCATACATGTACGACTTTGAGAGGCCTTTTCGCATGATGGAGAGGGAATTCTTCAGACCAAACGACTTTTTCGGCTATTCTCCGTTCAACCAGCTGATGCCACGAGAATTCTTCGGTCCTTCTTTCTACGGGCACAGGGACAACGTCTTCAGACCATTGGAGAAAATTTTAGAGCCAATGGAACAAATGTCGGCTGCCATGAATCGACTAGCGGTAAACGAAATCGGAAACATTAGCAGTGACAAAGAAAAATTCCAAGTTAACGTTGATGTCCAGCATTTCTCCCCCGAAGAAATACAGGTCAAGATAAAAGACGGGCATGTGGTTGTGCAAGGAAAGCATGAAGAGAGACAGGATGATCACGGTTACATCTCGAGGGAGTTCGTGAGACGGTATGTTCTTCCTAAAGGTTGTTTGCCGGACACAGTGGAGTCTAAACTGTCCTCCGACGGTGTTTTAACAGTCACAGCGCCGAAGGTTCTTGCTATGCCTTCCATAGGAGAACGTATAGTGCCAATAACACACACAGGACCCGTGCAGAAGCAGCTGGGGGCTCCGGATTCCGTGAGTGAAGAAACAAAATAATCTAAAAAATGTGAACATTTTTTTTTATTCTGAAGACTGATTTGAATCTTGGCTGTATTAAATTTCGCTTTTATGAATTATTTTCTTTTAAATAAATAGGTGTTTATATCATAGATTGTGTTTTCATTTATACCCTTTATGTTATAATATATATTTTGAGGGTTGCCACGAAAAATGATAAACGTAAAATTAGAAAAGACATCACGAATCTTGATAGGTATGGGTAGGGAGTTAATTACTCACAATTCGTGCCAAATAACCTGCTCTGAAATGATTTTATTAGTATAATATAAAATTTACAGTATCTTATTAATTTAAAAAATAAAAACAACTTGATGCAAACCCTTTTATCCCCTCGGACCGTCACCCCGCCGGGGCTCTCGTTCGGCGGGGCGGTGTGTCGGACTCGAACCGACTAAAACCACTCGGTGTGCCCTCTTTGCGCTTCCAGTTTAGGAGGGGTCCAGGTAGTTATCGCCTTCTGGACCCCTCTCAGCGCCGGCCCGCTCCTGTTGCGGGCTCCGTCTCAAAATTTTTCCTCTTTAGGCGACGTCCGGCACACGCGGACGCCGCCCCCTCGCGGCTGGCCAGCTAATGCGGGTGGAGGGGAGAACCCATCCCGTCCACCCGCGGCCACACTCAGGGCGGCATGAGGCGCAACCCTTTTTTTTTTTTTTTTTTAACGTGTGGAAATCCCCTCGGACCGTCACCCCTCCGGGGTTTGCGGCGGGGTGGTGTGTCGGACTCGGACCGACTAAAACCACACGGTGTGCCACTCTGCGCCTGTAACAGGAGGGATCCGGGAACAGCTGTTGTTAAGACATCCGGACCCCTCCTAGCGCCAGCCCGCTCCTGGTGCGGGCTCCGTCTCAATACATTTTCCTCTCTTTAGGCGACGTCCGGCACACGCGGACGCCGCCCCCTCGCGGCTGGCCAACTGAGGCGCAACCCTATACCAACGTTTGGTCAGCATGGTATAGTAGACCAAAGCCACTTTTCTAAGGAGAAGCCTATGTTCAGCAGTGGACTGTTATAGGCCGTTGATGGTGATGACTCATTTTAATGTAGCAAGTGCCTTCCTTATTTTATTGTTTTTTTTATATATTATAAGGGGACAAACAAGCAGACGGGTCACCTCATGGTAAGCAACTACCGCCGCCCATGGACACCTGCAACTCAAAAGTCACAAGTGCGTTGCTGCCCTTGGAGTCCCTTCCGTTCGGGTCAGCGGGAGGGGCGATTTAGGCTCCGGCAATCTCACTCACTCAATGAAAGAATTGCTTAACACCGATTTTGATATGAATAATATTGTTCTGTGTCTGCAACTCAAGATTCACAGGTGCCTTGGCGGCTTTTGATCACCCATTAAACGGGTTAGGGGAGGTTGGACCTGTGGTAAAATATTTTTTTTAAATTGGCATTAACTTTTATTAGCTTTCCTTGTAACTAACTAACTGTGTAAATAAACCTTGATAGCCAATTTAAGCCTACTTGTAACAGTCGTAGCGAAATAAAATTATGTCTGTATATGTTTATTCTCTATGATAATACTGTAACTGGCCATCTTTAAGCTAGGCCTCAATTCTGCTATTTTATGTTCACGCCAAGCCACTGTCATACCACTGACACGCTAGCCTAGCTAAAAGATTGCCATATTTGGAAAAATAATTAAATCATTTCCTCAAAAAAACGTAATATATTTTCAAATTATAAGGAAATGATTTATTTATTTTTCCAAATATGGCAATCTTTTTGATATAACCACTGATGAGACACTGCCATTCCATTGCCACTGTAAAGACACTGAGTTAGTGTAGACTACCGATATTTATACCGATGCCAATGGCCACTCGATGGCATCTCAATAGCGTGACAGTGGTGGCTTGGCGTGAACATTAAATAGCAGAATTGAGGCCCTGATCTGATGTTGGAACTGAAGCTGGACGTTGGAACTCTGCATTAACTACTGGTAAACCTCTCGGATTTGGTTCATATTATACATTTTGAGGAATTCAACAGATAACATTGATCGGTTGAAGCCAAGAGTTGCACAGTGGAACTCTTTTGTAACCGACTTCAAATAAAGAAGGAAACTCTCAATCCGATTGCAATTTTTTATGTTTATTACATAATAATAATATAATATTCTACCACATTCACACAACGCCATCTAGTCCCAAACTAAGCAGAGCTTATTCTATGGGTACCTTTTTTTTTGTTGAGGTGGTGTAAAATTCCTTCAGATCCTGCTCCTCGGGGACTTAGAAGCCTGGGAGGACCCGGACCATATTATTTCAGGAGGTCCTCCCCGAAATGACACTATGCCTAATCGGGCTCTATCCCTGGGGATGCTATGGGTACCTACTTAACAACTGATATAAATGCCATTAACCAATTACAAACATACTTTTTCTGCTTTTGTGAGTATACTCCCCGTTCGGTCCCATTCACAATAAAACAATTAATACCACCACTAAGGATGGAAAAATAAGAAAAGACGATTACAGCTCATTATTATCTATATGCAAATAAATAAAATTAAAGTGTCTGTTTGTAATGTCAAAATAATAAATTGTCTTTCATGCCCACACGTTTATTTGCACGATACCTATGTCTAAAAACCAGTTTAATTATTTTTTTGTCTGTCTGTCTGTATGTTCCGGGTAATCTTCCAAACGTCTGCACTGATTTCGATGGTATTTTACTACCAGTTTTTTTGTAATTTTAGTAAGCTTTTTCCTTTTTTGGAGTAAGCTATTTTTTTAACCGACTTAAAGAAGGAAGAAGTTGTCAATTTGGATGGTTTCTTGCTTATGTACTAATATAACTAAATATAAATAAATAACTCCCTCATACATATATGGACGGATTCTCAAAATCCTTTTTTTCTTCGAAAGGGGTTTATTCCAAAATGGTCCCATTTAAATTTAATATAGATCTCATCACGAGTTTTGGATACAGACAACGGAACTCTTTAAAAAAATGTCAGCAAATCAACAGCGATCACTGCTAGGTTTTTAGTGTTCTTTGTTAGTATTGTTAGAATTCGGTTCAACTGTTAAAAAAAAGTATTTATCCTTTCCGAAAAACCCTATAAAATGCCCCGTTCGAGAATCGAACCCGAGGCCTCACGTATCGTACTACACCACTAAGGCAGCGCAAGTCGAGTTCGAGCGCCCGCGTGCAATACCGATGTAGCCGCCCTTTTTTCCGTGCGGAAATCGCTGTTTACGCCGCTTCCTACTACGCCGAGCTTTGTAGGTTCAAACCCCTGGTAGACGACACTTTGTGTGATCCACAAATTGTCGTTCTGAGTTTGTGTCCGTTTCATGCTTGTTTGTAAAGTCCTCCGCGACACAGGATATAAAGAAAGAAACATTTGCATTTATTTTCGATCAATAGACGTTACTATGGCGAGATAAAAATACATTAGACATGCAATTATGAAAAATTTTAGTCTTCGTTTCGATTTCTGTTTTTGCCAGCTCCTTGGAAATTCCGCTCGTGTGCGGTGCAAGCTCTGCACACCCGTACCCGGCGGTGCTGGAGCAGCGTTTTTCAAACTCCACGCGTACGCAGTCGCGGGTACCAGCTAGTACCCATTTCCAGCCATTTCAGTGTATATACACTGAAATGGATAATAATTTACTTTTTTATTCTCTGCACCATTTAGAGCTTTTAAGGTTAAACTAAACTAACTATTTCTTTGTTTTTAACTAAACTTATTTTTTTGACGTGACAATTATAATTCGATGGAGCCGGCTGCACGCACGAAAAAACATGACTCATGCGGCGTTACCTCGCTCTGAGGCGTTCCATTTAAGGCGTGAAGTGCAAGCGAGAGCGCGGAACGAGTGACAAAGAGGCACAATCAGCCTCCGCGTTCGGCAGCGTGCGACATCTGTCTCTCTCCTACTTGAGTGAGCGATGCGTCCGCGTGGACAGCTGCTACTCGTACACAATAATACATTTTTGAAAAATGCAACCATTCCATCAGTATTTTCTTATGACGTTGTCACGTTCAACTATCGTCAGTAAACCGACTTTACAGACAACCGATTTTTTGCCTTTATTCAACAGCCTATCATCATCAGCCCATCGCCGCCCTGGCGATAGGCTGATGATGATGATCATAAATACAAAGCTTATAATTAAATTAATAACTACAACTTAACAGAAGCTATGAGTAGCTACCACAGAACAGTTAATAAACTGTTCTGTGGTAGCTACCAAATATTAAAAAACCGGCCAAGTACGAGTCGAACTCGCGCACGAACGATTCCGTACTATAATCTATAAAAATGGCAAAAAAAAACACGTTTTTTGTATGGGAACAACCCTTAAATATTTTTTTTATTTTAATTTCATTATTTATCTTTAAAGTCTATTTATAAGTAAATATTCTGTGAATGTTTCGAACGTCTACCTGTTGCCGTTATCAATATCGTTATCAATTATCAATAATAATTTTGTTGTATGCCCCTCTTAAATATTTATTTCATTCTGTTTTTAGTATTTGTTGTTACAGCGGCAACAGAAATACGTCATCTGTGAAAATTTCAACTGCCTAACTTTAACGGTTCATGAGATACAGCCGGGTGACAGACGGACAAGCAGACAGACGGACGGACGGACAGCGGAGTCCCCATTTTACCCCTTGGGTACGGAACCCTAAAAAAGAAGATTGGTTGACAATCAATGGGAAAACCAGTTATTTCTCCATTCCCTATTTACATTTATTACAAAATATATATTGTGTCAAACGGTTATATCTGTCATCGAATCTAGGGCTTGGTACCTAGTGCCACCATTCGTGATATTATATAGATGAACTACAATGTCAAGGTTCCTTGAATCGTCAATAATGTGACATATAGTTGGCAGTATGCCAAATAAAGGCAGACTATAAACCTCATCACATCCACATTTAATAGTCCACTGCTGGACATAGGCCTCTTCTTAGAAAGGAGGTTTTGGCCTACTAAACCACGCTGGCCAGACGTGTTGGTATAGGGTTTGTTTCAAGTTTTCCTTCTTTTTGCAGTGCTGGTGTCCTGCGTTATTTTGCACCCTTAGTCGGCTCTTACGACACCCACGGGATGAATTGGGGTAGTGACATTCCGTATTCTTAATCCGTCACTACACGGACTATGATGTGTGAAACCTACATAAATACATAACATAGATATGTGTCTATGGAGGTATAGTGTTGTGTGAGGGGTTCGTAGCTAACTGGTCACCGAGGAGGTCACCACATTGCAAAGTTAAGCAATTGTAGGCCGGTCAGTCTATGGATGGGTAACCATTTCTTGACACATTGGGACCCCTCCGTGCCTCAGAGAGCAAGTAAGCCGATGGTCCTGGTTGCCATACGAACATATGTGCTTAAGCGGTTTAAGCGGTCGCCCCGCCGCTTCCTACTACACCGAGTGTTGTGGGTTCAAACCCCACATGGGACAACACTTTGTCTGATCCACAAATTGTGTGACACAGGTTTTATTCCTAGTGCGGGAGTTGTTGTGAGTATAAATATGAATGATTATATACATATACTAGCCGACCAGCAAACGATATCTTGCCTAATACATTATTTCTAGGAAATATTGAAAAATTCAACCCCTTGTTATTTAGGGGTATGAAAAATAGATGTTGGCTGATTCTCAGACCTACCCGATGTGCACACAAAATTTCATGAGAATCGGTCAAGCCGTTTCGGAGGAGGGAACGAACATTGTGACACGAGAATTTTATATATAAGATATACCTATCGACGGGCCTGTTGGTCTAGTGGTTAGTGACCCTGACTGCTAAATCGGAGGTCGTGTCGCCCAGGACAAATATTGTGTGATGAGCACGGTCATTTGTTCTGTGTCTGGGTGTAATTTATCTATAATATGTATGTATTTAAAAATATATAAGTATGTTTATCAGCAGTCTGGTCACCATATAGTAGTTTGGGATCAGACGGCCGTGTGTGAGATGTGTGAGGGATATTATAAGGTATTATATTATAAGATATTATATTAGCCCTCAGCATTGCAGTGCTTGGAAAAGGCACTAAGTAGATTTCAAAAAAACCTAACCTAGTATTTTATTATTTATTTACCTCTTTATTGTACACCACTGCAGTTATATTTGTACAGATATTATATACATTTTGGTATAACAATAGGCGGTCTAATCGCTCAAGGCGATCTCTTACAGACAACCTTTATACGGATATTGTCAAAAAATATACAGATGTTGTAGGCACTACACACTTTGTAACAAAGATTGTTCGTAATTTCTACTAAGAATCGTGTGACAGAGAATCATTAGAGTCAATACATATGTTTATATTTCTCATTTAACTAAATGATTGTATACCATTGCTATAAAGAAATATGCTGGATGCTTACGTAACAGTGTACAACTTGTTTAATACACTTATAAAACCCAAAGGAGTTACGTAAAATATTTATAAATAAAAATAAAAGTGACGAAACCTTTTTATTGATTGATTTGTAATTTTGATATCTGTTTCATAACTGCGCAGATGAAAACGGGAGGCTGGGGGGGAATAGGACCACACCTACTCCTTCCACTCCCTACTACGCGCATGCCCCGATGGGATATTAATTTATTAATTGATTAGCATGCAGTTTACCTATATGATTTTAGATTATATGTAAGTTTAGTTTATCTTATAATCGGATAAATAAACTGATACGGCAGGTCTGTTGTAATAAGGAGAAGAGATCTACATGGACACTAGGGATTTAAAAAATATTTTATCAGACTTTTGATTTCACAACAACAGCCTTTAACAGTCCACTGCTGGACATAAACCTCTCCTTACAAAGGAGGTTTTGGCCTACTATACCACGCTGGCTAGACGGGTTGATATAGGGTTTGTGTCAAGTTTTCCTTCTCTCTGCAGTGCTGTTCTTCTGCTTAGTTTTTATTTTTTTATTTACATCTCGCTGTTTATGATGTACATAATGATATTAAAACGAACACACGTTTATAAGGACAATATTTATTTATCAAAGGTCAGAAAAAGGTATACATACAAATACTACGAAGCCACAACAAGAAGTGGATAGACAGATATAAAATAATAAAACTACAGTAATATCACACCCACATGGGGAAATAGAACTGGTGGTGTGAAATGGGAATGAATGGAACTACTCCTCATTTTTCACTGGTGTTTCCAAATAAGCTTCTTCATCAGCACACTCGGACTTCTGATCTGTTTCCTTAACCTCCACTTTAATCTCGGTATCTTTAATGTCCTTCGTGGGATCTGTAAAGATGATGGGCACTTCGCGTTCATTAGATTTAAGATTGCGCTCAAAAGGCACAAATACGGTCAGAAGCCCACTAGGAGACAGCCGGCACTGCACATCCTCAGCTGCACATCCTTCAGGTAACTGGTACTTCTTCATGAAGTCACGAGACACCCATCCACCTTGACTGTCCTTCCTTTCTCCGTGCTTGGCTCTAATAATAACAAAGCCGTCCACGGTCTTCACAGAGAGATCCTCCGGGGCGAAGGCCTTCACCTGCGCACTAACTTGAAATTTATTTTTGTTTGATTTCATTTTAGGCCCTGATTCACCTGCACCTGGCACCATTTGCCTTATGTTAAGAACTTGCATCAATCCCGGTAAGAGATCGTCGAATTGACCGTACGCGTAGTTTGGACCGCCAGGGCCATTGCGGTTGTAGTAGCGGTCATAGGGGGTGTCGAATATGAACGAGAACCCTGGCACCGTCATTTTCAGCGAATTTCTGCACGGTTAATAAATGGTAATATATTGCGTTGCAGAACGGAATGCACTGCGCATCTCAGGCGCGCATGCCGCTTGGTAGGGGTGGTCTAGACAGTAGTTGCAAACCTTCTACTGTATACAGCCTGTATTCATATTTTACTTTACTTCTGATACACACACCTTTACGGATCTCATAAATTTTCTCAATACCCTGAGTATCGGTGATAGGCTTCACAAGTAGAACACAGTGCCTCATCGCGGTCTCTACTTTGGCACATTTCCATGTCGGCTCTAGCGTCCAGCAGTCGTCCTTTTTTTTTCCGTGCCAAAATCCCTTCGGATACCACCCACCGGTGGTAATGTCGGACCCGAACCGACCAATAATCGCACGCCATCACAAGTACCAGTAGCTAGTGAACCAGGTGTGCCCTAGAAAGGAAATCCCACTCCTGTCTGGAAACCCCCATGTTCCCTTTATTCTCAGCGCGTCTCCCGGCCTGCTTCCGCTAGGGTGACAGCTAGCCTCATCTGTGACCCCCAGACCTGAGCTTATGGAGGACGGAGGTCGTTTTGCGACCTCCGACGCCTGAGGTCCCTGGCCCGGCATCTCAGAAGAAGGAGACGGCGGTGTTCCACGCACTCTTGCTCCGAATCATGGGACCATCAGTCCTCCTGGAGACATGACCGGCCTACTTCTATTTCAGCGTACTGATTCTCCGTCCATCGGTTACTCTATCTGTCGAATATTTGCGTTTCGAATTTTATCGACTAGAGAAACACTTAGCATCGCACGCTGAGCGACTTTAAAATTTGGGACAAGTCCAATGGTGGGTGTCCACGTCTCGGCTCCGCATGTCATTACGGGGTTGGTAGCTAGAACCCACTTAATATTTTTTCAAGCTTTTAGTGCATTATTATTATTATGATTATTTAAATATAAATTTATATGTATGTATTTATATGTATATAAATTTATTTGTATGTGTATATACGAGAAATTTTATTTTGAAATCTGGGTAATGCCATGCGTGCAATGTAAATGCAAGAAGTTTTATAAATTAATAAATGAGTAATAGAAAATATTTTTTTTTCTTTTTAATAAAATAACTTATTTTTTCTTTTTTATTTAGATATTAATTATTAGGCTCCACAATACGAATTTGTTTTACGTAGTGATTGATTGTGACTGTTGTGGGCAGTACTTATTTAGAACTAATAATTTTATGCTGGGCACCATCATTTATTCTGTGGCTGATTGAAATTTATCTGTAATATGTGTGTGTTTAGTAATATAATGACATTACACATAATCATCATCATCAGCCTTGCGATAGGCAAGGTGGTGGCAATTGGCGGGCAATGGGAGAGGCCTATGTCCACTGCTGACATAGGCTTTTCCTTTTCGATTTTCGGCTTCTCGCATCCAGCTCCTGCCAGCCATCTTGAGCAGATTGTCACTCCATCTGGCCTGTGGGCGTCCTACACTACGTTTGCCTAGACGCGGTCTCACCCCAATAACTGGTTTATAAGAATTCTTAGTTCTAAGTTAGTTACTTTTGAGTTCTTTTGATCTTTTGTTTATTTCATTAATTAGAATTTGTTTTATTTTTATGTTTTTAGTAAGTCCATTATTGTATTGGGATGAACCTGTTTAGATAGTGGAACACTGTAATGAATTAATAAGATTATGTTTTTCAGAATATCTATTAGGTATCGAAAGTGTTTCCTAATAGGGCGTGTACAAAGTTACGCTTTTCATTATTATACGAGTACTTATACTACTCGTACCTAATACATTGAATTTTTATATATTTAAATAGTTTAAAACATTATACATTTTTTATTTAGCGAATCTTATTTTCACGAGGGCAAGGTTCAAAATTGTATTAATTTCGCGGTTAAATAGCTCCAGCATCGAAATAACTGCTGGCGTAAACTTAATCAATATAATATATAAATTTACAAGATAAAGCATGCATTAGCTTAAATAATCACGAATATATCAATTATTACTCGGTCAAGCTATCCTCAAATAAAAAATCTTTACATGGTATAAAAAGAAGTCGCTTTTTTCTTGTACGCTTAGATCTTTAAAATAACGCAACGGATTTTAATGCGGTTCTCACCAATAGAGAGAGTGATTCAAAAGGCGGGTTTAAACGTATATTACATGCTTATTATAATAAAGGAAATCCGACAATTTAAAAGATTTGTAATGTAAAGTCGTAAAAAACATGTGTTTGTGAGCTTACATTACAAACGCTGGCTAAACCTTACGAGATAAATTTAAACAATGTGCTACGGAATTCTATATCTTAAAAAGATCTACAAAAAAGTCCCCAATGGTATCTGTCTATCTTCTATAGATAACCCTCAGTAACCATGTTTAACTTTTAGGCCCGCGCCTATTAATATTGCAAAGATAAAATGTCCTTAGAGATTATCGGTCTTATTATAACAATAGTATAATAATTATTTACTCCACACTGACACCACATTAGTAGTATCTACATTGCACCCGTGCGAACACGGGGCTGATCGCCTGTTTATTCTAAAGACAATTTAAAGAATTACTATTGAGAAAATAATTATTAAGACAATTTAAAAAATAATTAGGTATTTTATTACTACCTCAATAACTAAATAACCCTACTATAATCGTTACTGTAATTAATATTAGTTTAGCACAACCAAAGCCGCAGTATAACACAAGTCATTCCGTAAGCAAATAAGGAAATAAATTTAAGTCTAGACTAGACCAAATGTTCAGGGCCCCTGGAGCTTTAGCAAGCTCCCAGCTCGCTCGGAACATTCGACGGAGAGCTCATTAGGTGACCAGGATACGATCTAGTTGACCGTATCCTGATCTTCTAACAACAAACTACCAAAACAGTATATGAAAATATACTGGCATGTAAAAAAACTGTGATGAAAAATTGTAAATTAATTTTTGGGGTTATTTTGAATATAAATTTAAAATATTAAAAATAATTTATAATTATTTTATTTATTTATTTTTATTTAGTGAAATAAATATGGTTTGTACTGTACCATATTATCATCTCTTATTAAAAATAACAACACAGTAAGATGATAAATTAATAAATAACTGTTTTTTTATATATATTTATTTATTTAGTAAAATAAATGCATCGTAAATAATATACATCGTAAGATGATATTGCGGCAAGTTTATTTTATTTATTTTTATCTGAGTGTTGTGGGTTCGATCACATGGAGTATGTATGAGCTTCAAAGTGATGGTCTGAGTTTTTGTTTCCGTTTAATGGATGTTTGTAAAAGCCCCCGTGACCCAGGATTACATTATATTCCTAGTGCGGGAGTTGTCTTGAAATAAATGCAATTTGCCATATTCCCATCACTTACTAAAACTAATACACCTATTAAGATAATGTTTTAAAATAAAATCAAAATAAATTAAATTAATAATCATTTCATTTATTTATTATTTTAAATTTACATATTAAAGTTTACTGAAATAAATATGGTTTACCATATTATCATTTCTTAAAACAAATTGTAAACATAGTCGAATGATATTTTGAGTAATAATTTATTTATTAATTAATATTTTTATTGTATTGTACAGTTTTTTTGATGCAGTAAAATTGTGTTTTAATAAATAATTATTTCTTTTTTATTTCATTTTATTATGTTTTTGTAAAGTTAAAAAGAAACCGGGTAGTGCGTTTCATGTCACGCAATTTGTAGGGTGCCGCAGTTTGATAGTTTTTACCCGACTGCGCCAGAAAGAGGGTTATGTTTTTCGAGACTATGGATGTATGTATGTATACGCTCTGCGGCCAAACAATTATACTTATTTAAATTAAAAACACTTAATATAGAGCATTCTTGACCATTTAGAACAAAATGTAAAATGACATATTAAAATCTTTTTTCTTTTTAGTTATTATATAATGTCATCACACAAACAAACAGAGAAGAAAAAGAAGCACGACCTTAAATACGTCTAAACTCTAAATCGTGATACATATTAAATGATGTATTATTCGTCCCTTAATTACCCCACCCTTAGGAGTGAAATATTTTTATGAGTACAACCAATTCAATTAAAAAAAAAGAATCATTATATTCGTTTCAATTATACTAAAGCTATCAAGTAACGTACAAAATAATCAGTTTATTGATCGTTCTTTTTTTGAAGTCGGGTACTGTTATAAATAGGAATATTAAAACATGTAAAACATTTTATAAATAGGAACATGTTATAAATGGGAACATTAAAACATGTAAAACATTTTATAAATAGGAACATGTTATAAATGGGAACATTAAAACATGTAAAACATTTTATAAATAGGAACATGTTATAAATGGGAACATTAAAACGATTGTAAAAACATGTACATATATGTTATTGGACAGTTCGGCGCATGTCTTTCTATCAGTGCGCAATTTTATTGATTACGGAACTCAGTCTAGAACTCTAGACTGTTCTGCTACCTGTCTAAATGTTCTGGAATATTCCTGCCGAAGAAATATTTAGTTCTAGAAATGATATGGCTTAAATACTGTACAAGAAGGTAGTTATTAAAACAAAGAACTTGATTGCGTGAAAGCTCATACATCAAATTCAAATTTAAAAGCAGGCTTTTATATTTAAACTAGCTGACCGGCGCAACTTCGTCTGCGTCTCTCAATAGTAATAAATTTTCTCCGTTTTTGAAACATTCTTCATTGGTGCTCCGCTCCTATTGGTCTTAGCGTGATGATATATAGCCTATAGCCTTCCTCGATAAATGGGCTATCTAACACTGAAAGAATTTTTCAAATCGGACCAGTAGTTCCTGAGATTATCGCGTTCAAACAAACAAACAAACAAACAAACAAACAAACTCTTCAGCTTTATAATATTAGTATAGATTTTATGTTCTTTGATAATTTTTATTATTTTATTTTAATTTTGACACCACTCGATAGGTTTTGAAGAAATAAACATTTTGGGGACATAAAATGACTCGAAA